AAAAAAAAAAAATAATAATAATAATACTGACTGTACTATCTTCTGGGGCAACTTTCTCCAATTTGTCCTGGCATTTGGGGTTGACTCTGTTCTGCACTCAATTCCATTAGTAAATCCCATCATCCACCTCAGAGAAATTGACCAGGAAGCCCATAAATTCTACCCTGGGCAAAAATGACAACTACCGCTATATTTTCACTATATCCCAATGAGACAGCCCTGTCTGGCCTGGTGCTGGACAAAATATATAACTTTAACCCTCCAAAGCTAACAAACTCTTCTACTCAAAAGTATGTTTTGCTTATTTATTTATCTATTATTTATGTTTGTGATGCTGGTGATTAAACCTGGGAATTCATGCATACCTGTGCTTTACCACTAAGCTATATCCCCAGCCCAAGTTGTCATATTTTATAAAATAATTTCCTTTATCTGAATTGTGTGTGTGTGTGTGTGTGGATTAAACCTTGGACCTTGCATGCTAGGGAAGCACTCTTCCTTGGAATGATGTCCTTAACCCTTAATTTGACTTTTAAAAAGTTTTACATTTTATTTTTAAATTGCTAATCTGTACACATGGTATATAATTCAAAGGTCTAAAAGGGAACATAATGAAAACTAAGTCTTCCTCTCTCATCTTCCCAGTTACCCAACTGCTCTCTCTAAAAGGCAACCAGTATTATCAGTTTCAGGGTGTACAATATATATAATTCACAGCTTTCAAGTACCTTCCCTCATTTAACTTGCTCTAATTAATACTACTGTCATGGAATAAGAACAAGTCTAATTGAAATGGATATCCTCAGAGCAAGCAATAAATATAAAAAAAAATACAAGCTAGTACAAGTCTCTAACACTAGCTCTGGGAGAGGCTGAGGCAAGAGGATCACTTGAGCCCAGGAGTTTGAGACCAGCCTGGGCTACTGGTGAGATCCAGTCTCAAAAATTTTTTTTGAATAAATAAAAAACTAACTAAAATACTTTGAGAATGAGAACTTATGAAAAAGCATGATAAAAAACAAACCAAAAGAAACTCACTCAAAATAGAATCACTGTAATTCTATACCCAATATTTAAAGTATATATATGCTTGTAGCACTAGGTCTATGCTGCCCCACGAAAGAGGAGTGCTGCAATCTTCCATAAACCAGCTAATGCCAGCCTCACTTGCTGTACACCTGGTCATTCCAGACTGGTCAACTTGATTTCTAAACATCTATGGCTATCCAAAAAAATCCCAGCAAGGTTGTTAAGCCATAACAACTATAATTCAGATAATTCAATGTGTCAGAAATTGTTTAATACAATTGATTCTTTAAAAAATATGACTAATTATATAACCCAAAGGATGCTTTGACCACCTACTAATGTTGAATTTGAGACATTATCATCTATAAGCTGAAGCACCAATCTGTAAGCCAACTATTTAATTTTATAGTCCTTAAAAGATCTCCATCTCTCTCATTTACATATATACACACATCACACACTGCTAATCATTTTTCTGTTTTTCTTTTCCACTAGATTTGCAAGCCCTTTGAAATATATATACATATATATATATTTGAAATATATATATTTGAAATACACACACACACACACACACACACACACACACACACCTTTATGGACATCATTCCAAGGTAGAGTGCTTCCCTAGCATGCAAGGTCCAAGGTTTAATCCCCATCTCCCAACACACACAATTCACATACCTTTATTTTACTTTATTTTTATGTAGTGCTGAGGATCGATCGAAACCAGGACCTCATATGTGCTAAGTGCTCTACCGCTAAACCACAACCCCAGCCTCTGAAAATGGGCTTTTTAATGTTCATTAGCATGAGTCCATAGCCAAAATGGCACATGTTTGTTCAGTGAATGAATTAATGATGACATTGATGTATTAATCATGATCCCTTGGACAGACTGTATATCTTCTTTATAAAACCCTTATTTCAATGTGAATAAAACATTTTCAAATTGTTTGTGTGTCACAATGTCAAGAATAAAGTTACAAGTTAAAAGAAATATTATGAAGAATATATATATTTTTTATTTTCTGAAATAGGGTTTTGCTATGTTGTCCATGTTGTATAGGCTAGCCTCGAACACAGGTTTCTCCTGCCTCCATCTCCCATTGGGCTGACAGTACAAGTATAAGCCACTGTGCCCAGTTCATAAGGTATCTTCAAAATGTATTCACTTACATAGGCTCATGAGAATAAGTAGGAGGTTCAAAAGTTTGAGACCAGCCTCAGCAACTCAGCAAAACCCTCAGCAATTTAATAAGACCCTATCTCAAAATTAAAAAAAAAAAAAAAAACGAAGAAGAAAAGATTGGAGATATAATTCAGTGGTAAAGCATCCCAGGCTCAATCCCCAGTACTATCCCTGCCCCATAAAAAAAGTATTCACTTAAAAGATTTGTGAAAATTAGCAACTTAGAGGAAAAAATGAACAGAATATGAAAAGATCCATCAATAACTTGAAAATGTAAATATAACATATGAGAAATGCACAATCTCATTCCTGATTCAACTGATTCAAAGAAATACCATTTTTTACATATCATTTTGACAAATGTCAACAAACTTCCTAACATACTATATAATAAGGTGAGGAAACCTGCAGTGCTAGAAATGAAAGCTGGTAAAACTCCATAGGTTCAATCCCCAGCACTGCAAAAAAAACCACCCAAAACAAAAACCAATCAACCATCCAACAACAACAACAACAAAAAAAGAAACCTTAATAGGACAATCTGGCAATCAAAATGGGAAGGCATATCCTTGGGCTGGGATGTAGCTCAGTGGAAAAGTACCCCGGGGGTTCAATCCCTAGTATGTGGGTGGGGCTGGGGGTGGGGAGCAGAAACTATTTATGTATTAATAAGACAATATCTTAGGGGGCTGGGGTTGTGGCTCAGTGGTAAATAGCTTGCCTAGCACATGCAGGGCCCTGGGTTCCATCCTCAGCACCACATATAAATCAATAAAATAAAGGTATTGTGTCCAACTACAACTAAAAAATAAATATTAAAAAAAGAAAATATCTTAGAAAGTATTAAGAGAAATAAGTAAGGGACCTAATAGTACATAGCATCCTACCATGTGTGTAAAAGGTGGAAACAGAGTAACTACGTATAGACTTGTGAGATATATATATCCTGTTCATTTCTGAAAGGAACACAAAGACACTGGGGATAAAAACTCCAGCCCCCTCCCCCAACTGGCAGAAGAACTGGAAAGCTGTGTACAGAAGTCAGAGAAGACTGTTAATAGACACTTTCGAATTTTGAAGAGAATTACCCCTTTCTTTTCTTTTTTTTTTTTTTAATTACCCTTTTCAAACAAATCCAAAGGCTGATTCTTATTGCTTAGAAATAATGCCCAATATCTTGAAAAGGAACTTTTCAATAAGGGTAAAATTGTGATTATTAAAATATACTATGCTGGGTACAGTGGCTCGTGCCTATAATTCCAGAGACTCAGGAGGCTGAGGCAGGAGGATCACAAATTTGAGACCAATGTTGGCAACTTATTGAGACCTTGTCTCAAAAAATAAAATAAAATAAAATAAAATAAAGGGCTGGGAATGTAGCACACAGGTAGAGCAATCCTAGGTTCAGAAAAAAATTATTTTTTTTTTTTTTTTTTTTTTAAAGAGAAAGTGAGAGAGGGGGACAGAGAGAGAGAGAGAGAGAGAGAGAGAGAGAGAGAGAGAAAATTTTAACATTTATTTATTTTTTCTTAGTTCTCGGCTGACACAACATCTTTGTTGGTATGTGGTGCTGCTGAGGATCGAACCCGGGCCGCACGCATGCTAGGCGAGCGCGCTACCGCTTGAGCCACATCCCAGCCCCAGAAAAAAATTATTATTCACATATACGTAAATATTTATGACAATGGCATCTCACAGAATCCTCTCAGAAAATTATGAGGTAGAAATTATAATTATTATTCCAGTTTTACACATGAAGAAACAGAGGGCTAGGGCTGTAGCTCAGTGGTAGAGTGGTCACCTCACATGTGGAAGGCACTGGGTTCGGTCCTCAGCACCAATAAAAATAAAATAAAGATATTGTGTCCATCTACAACTAAAAAATAAGAAAAGAAACAGAAGCATGAAAGGGTTCAAAAACTTGCTACAGTCAGGTGTGTACATGCCTGTAATTCCAGAAAGCTGAGGTGGAGGATTGGGAGTTCAAAGCAGCTTTAGCAACTTAGTGAGGCCCTAAGCAACTTACCAAGACCCCACCTCAAAATCAAATATAAAAATGTTTAGGAATGTGGCTCTGTGGTTAAGTACCCCTGATTCAATCCTTGGTACAAAAAAAAAAAATGCCATAACTAGTAACTAGTCACACAGCTAGTAAAGTATGGAATAAGAACACCCTAACACTATAAATATTTGACATCTGACAACAAGATGAGAAGAATAAAAAAAGAATAGCAAATAATTTAAAAGACAAATGAAGAGTTGGACATGGTAGTGCACACCTGAGGATTGCAAGTTCATGGACAGCCTCAGCAACTTAGCAAGGCTGTGTCTCAAACTAAAAAAATTTAAAAAAGGTCTTTAGCTCAGTGTGTGCCTGGCATTTTATAGCCTAACCCAAAGCCTTGGGTTCAATCCTCAGTACAGCTAAAGGAAAAACAAATTAGGAAAATTACTTTCATATAAAAAAATTAAATTTTAAGGAAAACCAGCTATGTTCACTTATATAAACTTCAATTTAACAAAATTAAAAGGGATAGCTCAGAGTCATTTTTTCTTTTAGTATTAGGAAAAATTGGAAGTCTTCTCATGAACTCATTGTAATAGCTTTACTTTCACAAATGGATGTTGCTACTATGTAGATAAACAGACATAAGAGAAAAGTATATAACAAATCTGGAGAAAGCAAAACATGAAGTAAACTTTCTTCTCACCATTTTTCTTTTCGATGGCAATGATGGCTCATTTATCTGGAACAAAAAGTGAAAAATGATTTTTTCAAAGGTGTGTTAAGTTACTTTACAAATATTTTCATCCACTTGGATTTACAGCCTAATTTCAAGTATGCAGAGATTGATCCTCTACTTAATGGATGTTCCTCTTACTCATGCGCTTAGATTTTTATGGGTCAGTAGATCCATAAAGATACCTGGAGGGGATAAGATTATTTTAATAAGATAGCATCCTTATTTAAAATTATTTTAGTTTAATAGTAGAAAAAGTGTTAAAGTATGTTCTGTTAGCTTCATTATACCCTGAAGTAAACTAATGTTTTCCTATCTTCTTAAGAGATATAAGCAATAGGGGCTGGGGTTATAGCTCATTGGTAGAGTTGAGCTATAACTGCAGCCATCAGATGATGGATAATTGTAGTTCCCTGTCAATCAGGAGCATAGAGAAGACTTGGACATAAGGGGATTGTGGAGACTATTAGGTAAATTGCTTGAATTACCTTGACATTTTATTTATTCCTGGCTACTATTACCTTGAATGATCAAAGAGCTAACATGTTTATCATATAAAATTAATAGAAAAAAATTCAAGAATACTAACATTTTCTAACCTTTAGGAAGTTATAACAATACAACAACAGAGGTAACTCAGGTCTAATCAAGTGTTATGAAAAATCTTATAGAAACAAATGTTGGTTGAGAAAGGCAAAATAAAGTATCATGCTAATAATGATAATCATTAATGCAGAACTTTGAAATGTTAAAATTTAATAACTTATTAAACTAGCATAAAATTATGTAGAAGAGTCTCACTATCTGGATTTCACACTGATTAGAATTTTAAATTCTTTATTTGTACAGAGAGATATAAATTTAAGAAATATGCTTAGAGTGCCAAAATAAATTTTTAGAAATGATTTGAATCTAAGTAGGATTCTAGAAAGATAATATCTTCTGTAATAATAAATTATGAATCACACTGAAACTTTGAGGTTCTTTATAACATGTAGGTTCTTATTATAAAACTATTTACAATTGTTCTATATTAGATTTACAAAAGATTAAAAACAAAATACATGTCAATATGTGTTATTATGAGGACAGGATTTAATTTTTATTTATACCATGTACAATTATATACTATCTAGGAAGTTTTGGGAAAAATAGGAAAGGAAAAATTCATAATACAGTTAATTTAAAATTAAGAAAAATTTTAAGGTAAATATTGATATTTTCAGTGGCACAGAAAAATCTATTGCTCATCTCTTTTTTTTTTTTAAGAGAGAGTGAGAGAGGAGAGAGAGAGAATTTTTAATATTTATTTTTTAGTTCTCGGCGGACACAACATCTTTGTTGGTACGTGGTGCTGAGGATCGAACCCCGGTCGCACGCATGCCAGGCAAGCACGCTACCGCTTGAGCCACATCCCCAGCCCCCTCATCTCTTTTTTTAATGATATTTTTTAAGATGGACACAATATCTTTACTTATTTTATTTATTTTTATGTGGTGCTGAGGATTGAACCCAGTGCCTCACATGTGCAAGGCACCTGCTTTACCGCTGAGCTATAACCTCAGCCCCTATTGCTTATATCTCTTAAGAAGATAGGAAAACATCAGTTTATTTCAGGGTATAATGAAGCTAGCAGAATATACTTTAACACTTTTGCTACTATTAAACTAAAATAATTTTAAATAGAGATGCTACATAATCTTATCTCCTCCAGGTATTATTATTTTTTCTCATCATTCTCATTATTTTTATCCTCAGTGTTCTCATTACATTTAATTAGTTAAATTCAAGAAATAAAAACAAGCATAGAGCTTTTAATTTTAATAGTTTAACCCACAGTAAGAATGAATTATTAAAACCAATAGGCAAGTTTTCAGGGTACATTCATTAGAATTCAACCTCTCAATATTTAAAAAAAAAAAAATGTGGTTTTCCATATTCTTATTTGGCATTATTTAACTCATTGGAAGAAATTAATTATAACACTTAAATGAATACTTTTCTCCTGCAACTGAAAAAAATTACGCATTTTTATTTATTGATTTTTGCAATACTAGGGATTGAACCCAGGGATGCTCTACCACTGAGCTACATCCACAGCCCTTTTTATTTTGAGACAGGGTCCCTAGGATTATAGGCATGTGCCACTGTTCCTGGCTAAATTTTACCATATCAAAGAATCAAAATTGTTTTCAAACTAGGTGTAATGACTCAAGCCTATAACCCTAGGAAATCAGAATTCTGAGGCAGGAAGATCGTGAATTCAAGGCCAGCCTCTGCAATTTAGTGAGACACTGTCTCAAAAAATGAAAAGAACTGGAAATGTAACTCAGTGGCAAAGCACCTCTGGGCTCAATACCCAGTATCCAAAAAAAAAAAAAAAAAAAAGAGTTCTCAAAGTTATTTTAATGATGAGACACTTATTGTACAGGTATGTTATTTTTCTTTACTGAAATTCAGTAGTTGTTCAGTAGCTGTTTTTCTCTTTAGCATCACACAGCCATAATAACACAGATGACAAACTTTCTATTACACATCTGGTGTCTACTTGCAACAACAAGCAACTCCAAAATGGCTTATCTCAGTCAAAGCAAGTCAGACGTCAGACATGAGGTAGGATTTTCCAACCTCAGATACATGAATACATATATATGTAGGGGTGGAGAAAGAGAGAGGTAGATAGGTGGATGTTGATAAAAGCCTTCTGTTCCAACTATCATGTATTTTTAACAAGGGAGCAAATTACAGAAAACAAAACAAAACAAAACAATAAGAAATGAGGGATTATAAAATCACTTACCTCCTGCTGTTCCATATATTCCCTGTGTCTCCGAGCTGCCTCATGCCTCCAGAGCTTTAGGCAAACCAAAGCACTGATAAGATAGACAATCATGGTGACAAAGAGGAAGATCATTGCTGCTATTTGTCCTCCTTCTACTCGGCAGAACACTGCATTTATTGGAGTATTAAATAATGGATAGTAGCAAAGTCCACCTCGGTTGGTATCATTCACATAGACTATAGCTGCCGCCATGTACAAGATAAACAAAGCAACATTAATTCCAAATTCAGTTAGGGGCCACCAATTAGAGTCCAAAAGAATAGTTCGGTAATACATGGACATGCCAAGAACCAGAACAATAATGGTAGCAATCCAAGCTAATCCAGCAACCACCAGTACAAAAGGGGTCTTGGGGCCACTGTAGTAATAGCCCCCATACATACTGCCCAGGCCACCAACGCCTCCCATGCCATACGGCTGTGAATATCCAAACAAGTTATACCACTCGCTGTCCTTGTGAATGTAAGCTGTGACACATGCGAAGACTCCGGCCCCCAGAAGCAGCTCCACCACACCCAGAATTCTCAGCAGACCTGCCCAAGACTTCATGTAGGAATACCTCAGGTTGTACTCCTCCACCTTCTCACTGTATGTTCGAGCTGTCTGTGTGTGTCGGTCCAGAGATGCATAGGGATCCTGGGGAAACATCCCATCAGACTCTTTTGGGGAATTAAAAGTGCCTTCTGACCCTCCAGAAGGATCTTTGTAGGAGCTGGGGGGAGAACGGTGGTTGCATCTTGATGGAGAGGCAGGAGGTGAACATTTCACGCCATCGGAGATGTATCTGATATCAGACACTGACTTATCCCATTCTGGGTCCTTTTTCTTTCCCCTGAAGAAGTTCTTCCAGGAGTCAGGGACAAAGCGTCGTACGGGCTTGAGGTCTGGTGCAATGGCTGGTTCCTCAGTGTCACTTGAGTAGAAGTCTGGGCCGAATGGTGGCTGTAATGGGAGAGGGGGAGGTGGCAAAGGATCAGCACTTACAGCCAGCTCACTGTCGTGAAGAGTCTGGAGGGTTCTTACAGTGCCATCTTGATGAGGCAAGTCCCCTGGGACCTCATTGTAGCCCCTCTCCCGAATCCTGGATCTTCCATCATTTGACGACATTTGTGACTTTCACACCTGAGACCAAAGATTATAGTTTTTACTTATGCTTAGTTATTTATTCTTTCCATGATGCTGATTTTATTTACTTTGTAGCAAAATGTATTCAGGAGACCAACACAATTATATCTAATTATTATGACATATAAAAATAAAAAATAAGCATGTATATTTTAGGTATGTGTAACAATTAGATAACTCAAGAATACCAAGTTACTACTTTATGCCATTTTAAGTACAATCAAAATTTTAACTATTAACTCTGAATTTTACATAATGAAATATTTAGCTAAGCATGGTGGCACATATATGTGTGTGTGTGTGTGTGTGTGTGTCTAATTTATCTAAAAACCCTATAAACAGTAAAATATAAAAAACAAAAATGAAAAACTTTAACATTGCATAATGCTAACACAATCCCAAGTAGAGTCCTTCCTTCAGACATCTAAAGCAAAATATTTAAGAGTCTAAGCATACCAAAGTTTGATGGGTCAGCAATATAATCATTTTCATTAACTCACATCTGCTTTGGAATGTCCAAAGAGAAGCAGTCTGTTAAAACACAGCTCCTTTCCTTCCTAAAACAAGGAAGTCATTTAGAAGACTTGTCCCCTCTAAAACAGTAACACTTGATACTAGATTTCATTTTATATTATTATGGTACTGAGGATTGAACCCAGGGTGCTTTGCCACCAAGCAAAATTCCCAGCTCTTTTTCTTTTTTTTTTTAATTTATTTTTTATTGGTTGTTCAAAACATTACAAAGCTCTTGACATATCTTATTTCATACATTAGACTCAAGTTGATTATGATGTGATTCTGCAATCTATATTTGGGGTAAAATTGGGAGTTCATAACCAGCTCTTTTTCTTTTTTATTTTGACATAGGGTCTTGCCAAATTGCCCAGGCTGGTCTTGAACTTGCAGTACTCCTGCCTCAACCTCGAGAGTAACTGGGATGACAAGCATGTGCTACCATGCCCCGCTTGATACTAGATTTTAAAGGTTCTTAGAGGTAAAAATTGCCAAGGTTAAAGTTCCCAGAGGTACAAAATAGCAGCATCAGTGACTAGGAATATCATTCTTTCCAGAACAATTATCTATAAGTGATTTGCCGTCACGTAAGAAAAACTTACAAAATATTCAATCTAACTGAAAAAGTACTTTTACTAAGTTTGTTGATTTCTTTCATGAAATCAATGACCAGGACACATACACAAAAAGAAGGAAACCATTTGTTAAAGTAACTACTACGTTTAAGGTACATTGAATTTCTCCCTTGAATTGTTTCTAAATATTTCTTGAAGAGTTATTAGACACATGGTATTGTATTTGCACAACGAAGTTCTCAAAATTAAAATGGATAACCACACCTTTAAGATGCTGAAAAATTTAGATATTCCTAGGCTTTGTTTCATTTTACTTTATAAAATGGAGACCCGTTATTCAACAAATATTTTACTAAGCACCTGCGATGCATCAGGCATGCTGGTCTGTCAGTGAACAAAGTAGGATAAAGTCTTTGCCTGTATGGACATAGAATTCTAATGGGGGGTGACAGGTGATAAATAAATAAAATATGTAGTATGCTAAGGAAACAAGTTTACAAGGGGGCCAGGAGTGCACTGTTGACATTGTTATGGTTTTTAATGGAATGGCCTGGGAAGTCTTCTTAGAGAGTATGATAGTTCAATACAGAACTAAAGTTTAAAGGAGGAAGCTAGGCAGGTATCAAGAAGAGTGCTACTGGGCAGATAAAATGACTACTGCAAAAACCCTTTAGCAGGAACACCTAACAAGTTTAAGAACTATGAAGGCAGGGAGGCCAGCATGGCAGCAGCAGAGTGAGAGTGTGTGGAGTAGAACTGAGTCCATCTCATCATGTAGGGCCTTGAAAACCACTGGAACAGACTTTGGCTTTACTGGGAGTGAGACGAGAAGTCATTGGAGGATTCTAAGTAGAAGAGTGACTCGATCTGATTTGTTTTAACAAGATCACTTGGATGATGTGTTCAGAGAATACACCAGAAAGTAAACTGGGAGACCAGCTAGAAAGCCACTGAAATAATCCAATGGACCATGTTGGATGGAGTCTGAGAAAAGGTAAAATATTAGGTTCAGGGAATTAAGGTATTATAGGAATTTTCAAACTTAATAAAAAGTGGAAAGAATAGTATTATGAACCTTTGTATAGACATCAATTAGCTCCAACAATTACCCAGCTATGGCCAACTTTGTTTCATCTATATTCCCCCATCCTATTCTCTCTGTCAGTAGATTACACTGAAACAAATGCCAGACATCCGTTTAACTGCAAATTCTTCATTTTTCCATCTCTGGAGAAGAGCAGGATGAAAACAGTTTCAGATGCTTGTTAGCAATGCAGGGTTGTCAGAGAGGCAGTCTACTCACAGAGAGAATTCCAGGACTTCTCTGAGAAGACTCTTTATTGTCTAAAAATATTTAAATTCAAGAAATGCATAGTACTGCTGGGATGTAATTCGTTGGTAAAGTGCCTGCTAGGCTGTCTAGGTTCCATTCTCAGCACAGCAAAAAAGGAAATGAAATGCACAGTATTTCTTTTTTCTCTACTCGTGTAGTTTTTGAAATACATTCCTAAAAAACATACAAAAACACAACAAGTAACTTCGGCAAGTTTTACATAATGCCACTCAATATCTATGATATATATGAACCTACAGGAGCTTAATCTCACTGATCTTCACCTGAGAAAAGTGGCTTATTTGAGTCAGACCACTTTATCAATGCTTAAATAAAAAGCAACAATTTTAAATTTGAATTGTAGAAAAGCAAAATATCTTAAAAGGGAAAAATCAGCCGTATTTTCTCTCATGTTAAATATCTGGATACACCTTATTCCTTCAGGGTGTGAGAGTCCTCAGCTCGCTTAGGCGGAACCGGTCTTTGTTTAATTCGGTACCAGGACCCTGACTATCAGTTCTGTTGGAACAGATCTTAGGCAAGCCACAGCGGTGGTGAAGAGAAATGGTTCCCTCGGCGAAGTGTCAAGGGAATCACGCCAGGTTACTTTTACATTCCCAGAATCACCGCCTTTCCTGGCTTTCAATTTTGCTGGGCCCAAGGAAAGGATCGATTTCAGGTATTTCTGGGCCTCGTGGAGATGGGGGAGCAGGGGAGGCCCCTGCGGGACTGCCAGAGACAGAGCATCTCCCCCCACCTCCCCCGGAGCCTTTGGGCACCGGGTCCCAGAGTCTACTGTCCATCGCTCTACCCACCCCCTGCAAGCGTCCCGCCTTTGGGTTCCTCCTGAAAATACACTCTTTCGGGATTCGGCCCCAAAGTGACCGGAACTAAGTCGCGCCAGACGTCCCAGGTCGATAGCCCGAATTCCAGTGGGGGCGACCGCCGCGAGCCGGAAGGCCGGCAGCATCTGCGGTGTGGAACCCCGCGGGACCGGGACCTCCCCGCCCTCCCGCCGGTGCGTCCCCGCCGCGGATCCGGCCTGCGTCGCCGGGTATCGCGGGCCTGAACTGAGAGCGCGGCAGCCGGGGAGCTCCGGGGGCGTGCGGGGGGCACCCAGAGGGGCTGAGGGCTCTCTCGCCCCGCGCACCTGTAGAGGCCGCCGGGCCCTTCCGTCTCGTTCGGGTCACGCGGCTCCACCCTGCGCCCCACTCACCTGCGCAGCAGCCGGGAAGAGCGCGCGCCGCCTGGGGCACCGAAACCGGGATCGGGCTCTGAGGCGGGGCCGGGGTGGGCCGAGCAAGCTTCGCCCCGCCCGGCTTTGTCAGCCCGGACTCTGCGGTGAGCCCAACTGCTAGGTGCCCCCCACCCGGCACCTCGCAGCGGGGTTAACTCCGGCTACCACTGGGAACCGCGCTTTGAGAAGGTAATTAAGCAACCTCTTCGGAGAGTCCCAGAGCTAGGTGGCCAGCGTCCCCTTCCCTACTTTTTGAAAGGTTTGATAATGGATGAAGGATGAGTGCACAGTGCCTTAGGGACACATGGCAGTTAAGTAAACAATGTTAAAAAAAAAAGAGAGAAACGAATGAAATCCAACATTTTAATTTCGATATAAATTATGTAAATATTTCCAAAAAGTTTCTAAAATATTATACTGTACAACATATAAAAAACAGTATCTGAGAAGCTAGAGACAATAAACTGTAAATAAGGCACAAAGTTTATTTACACTGAGTTGCATCTTATACTATTTTGTGATTCATATTTACAACATAAAGGTTTTGATTTCTGGATGATTCCTTCACATTTTCTGATATTTGGCATAATGTTCAAACAATACACACTGATCATCTTCCCCTAACCCATTCACAAGACTAAATAAATACTAGAGAAAAAAAAGTTAAGAAGAGTACTTGAATGTTTGATTTTCTATTTAATTCAAGATGACAGAAGAGTCAAGTTGCTTGTGATGAAATACTATAATAATAATTAAATTGTCTATAATTCACCAGAAAAGTATATTAACTCTGTTCAAGTACTACTTGAATCTGTCAAAGCTGATTTCTATGTTCCATCACTCTCATAATCTTCTATTATTATATCTTCTTCTTCCATGTCCACTTGGGAGGAAAAAGGTTGAGGCTGGCTAGCAGGCAGTTCACTCCCACTATTCTGACTCAAAGGAAGAATTTCTGGTTCAGCAGTCTGAGTGAGTTCACCCTGATTTTCCTCTGTAGTCTGTGCTCCATTTCCAGTGTCAGGGTCTATCAATCCATGCTCTCTGTCCATCAGGGCTTCCATTTTCAATCTGTTAGATTCATAGTGCAGGTATTAATTGTATACAAGGAGGGGATTACTTTATAGTATGAGTGTGATGATTCTGAAACCACCTCCTCTGGTCCTTCACTTATCTTCACTGTGTACACTGTTTAGCCAGTCCCTTTAGTTTAACTATAAAAACCAAAACTAAACTGGGTACCATACTACACACCTGTAATCTCAGCTATACAGAAGGCTGAGGCAGGAGTATCTCAAGTTTGAGATCAGCCCCTGGGAAACCTAGTAAGACCCTGTCTCAAAAAATTAAAAGGGCTGGAAATGTAGATCATGATAAAGTGCCTCTGAGTTCCATCCCCATTCAGAAGTGGGGGTTAGGGTGGGAGTGGGATGGCAGCCCAACCACAAGGTGAACAACTGAATAAAACTAGCAATGCAAAGAGTGTTAATGTCTTCAGTAAAGAGTTCCTACAGACTAAAATGAAAAAAACAAAAACAAAACAAAACACCACCAAAAATGGGCACAAATAGAAAACTTATTAAAGAAATACAAATGTCACTAAACAAATTGCTCTAACTTTGTAAATTTTAAAACAGAAATTAAAATAGTAAGATTTTTTTTTCTTTTGCCATACTGGGGGTTGAACCTAGGTCCTTGCACACGCTCAGCAATTTTACTGCTGAGTTACAATCCTAGCCCTATTTATTTTTGCTTTGAGACCAGATCTCACCAAATTGCCCAGGCTGGCATGCACTTGTAATCCTCCTGCCTCAGCCTCTAGTGCAGCTGGGATTACACATGTACCAATGTGCCCTGCTGGCAAAGACACTTTTGAAGGGATAAAACCCAAGCAAGGTTCAGTGAAGCATGCCTGTAATCTCTAGCCTGTAATCCTAGCCACTAGGGAGGTTAAGGCAGGAGGATCACAAGTTCAAGATCAGTCTTAGCAATTTAGCAAGACCTGTCTCAAACAAAGAAAAAAAGAAAAAAGAAAGGCTGCAGGGGGAGGGGTGCTCAGTGGGAGAGTGCTTGCCTAGTACATGTGAGGCCCTGGGTTTGATCATTAGCACCCCAAAAAATAAATAAAGGAAGAAAGAATGCTTAGAAAAGAAAAGGAAAGGCTGACGATGTTGCTTTAGTGGTAGAGTGTCCCTAGGTTCGATCCCCAGTACTGCAATCAATCAAATAAAATAACAGTAAAGTAATAAAACCCAGTTGATGGATAGTTTAAAGAAAAAGAACATACTAATACTGTGAAAGTAGATATAAAATTGACAAAATATTCTTGCCAGCAACCTGGGAACAGAAACCAAAAGCCTCAAAAAGGAACAGACCTATTGACACAGCATTTCATTTCTAGGAGTTCATCCAAGTAAATAATATTTGACGTGCAGAAAGGGTTATTTACAAGGCTATGATAACAAAAGTTGAAAAGGAGCTAAATATACAAAATAAGGTATGTGTTAAATTACAGGAAATCATGCAGCTATTAAATATTAAGTTCAATGTTAATATTTAATAAATAGTAAATATTATCAATATGAATCAAGATATTAAATATGGGAACATAAAGATAACAGTATAGTCACTGTAATTCAGAACATCAACAAATCTTGCCTCCAAGTCAGATCACATAGTTGAATCGATAATTAAATAGTAAAGATTTCAATGCATTTACTTATATTTTAGAAGCAAAAGGACAATAGAAAATACTTATCCTCCCTCTATTTTTATGTCTTGATCTCAGGATGGAGACAGCAAAGAGAGCTGGTCTTTTTTGGGGGGCAACACTGGGGATTGAACCCAGGGGGCACTTTATCACTGAGCTACAGCCCCAGCCCTTTTTATTTTGATATAAGGTCTCACTATTCTGATATATTCTATCAGGAAAGGGTGAACATATGATATTGAATAAAATGAAGGATCAACAGTGTAATTAAAAGGTCTTTAATCACTGGATGTAATATATCTATTTTTGTATCTGACACATAACTTTTATTTATGTATGTTGAGTATATTCGTGGATATTTCAGTAACAGCTCTTCTTACCTTCTAAAATGTTGCTTCAGAGGAAGTCTTCCAATATCTTGGATAAAAGAAATCTGAGCTGAAAACAGATATTTTTAAAAAAATTTTAAAACATCATCATTCTTTTATTTATTTTTTAATTGACAAATAGGAATTAATTTAACATATGTATTACCTCAGATACTTACTTTTTTGGTGAGAACACTTAAAAATACTCTTAGGAATTTCAAAAATACATTATTAGGGCTGGAGTTGTAGCTCAGTGTTAGAGTGCTTGTCCAGCACAGATGAGGCACTGGGTTCAATCCTCAGCACCACATAACAAATACAAATAAAGATATCGTGTCCATTTACAACTAAAATATTTTTTAAAAATACATTATTAACCGTAGTCACGATGTACAACAGGTCTCATGACTTATTCCTCTTAACTAAAAGTTTTTGTCCTTTGACCAATATCTCCCCAATCTCCCCACCCCTCAACTCTGGGTAACCAATATTTTACTTGTTTCCATGAACTGGACTCTTTTACTCCAAGTATAAATGAGATTATGTATATTAGTCTCTCTGTTTTTTTTACTGCACATGACCTCTAGAAGCATCCATATTGTTACAAAAAAAAAAGTTTTAAACAGTTTTCAAAGGAAAATGTATGAATAGCCAATAGGTATATGCAAAGAGGATGACTATTCTTTAGGAAATCACAAACCAAAACCACAAACAAGTAAATCATTGTTTGGCATGGTGGGGCATGCCTATAATCTCAGCAACTCGGGAGGCAGGAGGATCACAAGTTTAAGTCCAGCCTCAGTAACTTACTTAGATCCTGTCTCAAAATGAAAACTAAAAAAAAGGAACTGGGGATGTGGCTCAGTGATAAAATGTCTCTTGGTTCAATACCCAGTATCCAAAAAACAAACAAAATTATTATATGATCCAGAAATTCCAAAACTTTATGGGCATATACCCAAAACAACTGAAAGCAGAGTCTCAAAGAAATATTTGTATATTCCTATTCATAGCAATATTACTCACGATACAGGTTGAATAACCCTTATTCAAAATGCTTGGGACCAAAAGAAGTATTTTAGATTTTGGACTCTGGAGTGTTTGTATATACATAATGAGATATCTTAGGGATGGGATCCAAGTCTAAACACAAAATTCATTTGTTTCATATATACCTTATACACACAGCCTAAAGGTAATTTTATGCAATATTTTTAATGCAGTCATATGAGGTCAGATGTAGAATTTTCCACGATGAATCATGTTGGTGCTTTAAAAGTTTCAAATTTTGGAGCACTTTAGATTAGATATGTTCAATCTATAGTCAAACTCAAATGTCCATCAACAGAGAAATAACCAAAATGTGGCAAATACATACAATGGAATATTATTCATCCTTAAAAAAGAAGGTAAATTATGATGCACACCACTCCAAGGAAGAACCTGGATGACATTACTCTAAGTGAAATAAGCCAGTCACATAGGACAAATATTGTATGATTCTACGTATGGGAAGTACCTAGATAGTCTAATTCATAGAGACAGAAAGGGACTAGGAGAATGGAGAAGTGGGAAATAAACATTTAATGGTTATAGAATGTCAGTTTTGCAAGATGAAAAAGTTCTGGAAATTCGTTGTAGAATAAAATGAAAATCCATACTACTACTGGACTATATACTTAAAGAGTTATGATGATAAATTTCATGTTATATATATTTTATCACAGGTGAATATTTTAAAAGAATGACACAGAAGATTTCTAGGATGACTGCCTGAGTTCTTGTGTACCCATCCCTCAGTGAGTAAGCAAAACTGGTGAAAAATTATCTTTTAAAAATCATTTACAGTCTCTGGAAGTTGTCCTAAAAACATACAGCAAATTAAGATATTCAAAAAAATCTAACAGGAGAATGTCTGCAGCATTTGAATCACTATCTTTCCCCACTCTTTCCTACCCCTAGTTCAGCTTGAGGGAAATTTTGTCCTTCATGGGTGCAGCTAAGCTTGCAGAGCTCCCTTCTAATGAGTGTAGAGACAAGGGATCCCTTTCCCCACTCAGAGGTTATGGGCTCTACCCCAGGTGCACTGCACCCTCATCCAACTGCAATCTCCTGGGCCCCAGTGTATTAGTAGAGCAGTGTTCACACTAAGATGATCAGAGGTCTGAAGGTGACCACTCAACCAGTATAGTGGCTCAGGGGGAAAGGCAGTTCATAGAAAAAGAGAGCGCTGAAGTTCTCCTCAAAGAAATTGGTTTTATTTGAAACACTGTGTGGGAAAGTTCAAACCTTTTTTTTTTTTTAATTGTAGATGGACATAATAACTTTATTTTAATGTGGTGCTGAAGATCGAATCCAGTGCCTCACACATGCTAGATAAGCACTTTACCACTGAGCCACAACCCCAACCCGTAAGGGTACTCTTGATACCAGCTCCTCTTAATTAAGAGCAGTATGCTAAACATAAGCCAATTGATTCATCAGAAAGAACTAGGAAAAGAGACAGCTAAGAGTTTTCCTGGAATCAGAACAAACCTTGGAGATGAGCCTCAAAAAACCTACTTGTCCTCAATCATAATGGGATCAGATTGGAGATATTTGGGGGCACTGTTGAAAACAACTGAGCAATCAGCCAGTAATTAATGTAGCCAAACAGATGAAAGTGATACCAGCTAAGGCACACAGCTGTAAAGAAACATCAAGAGACAAAGCCTTACCAAAACGAGCCTACCATAAGTAGGTGACTGAATGAACACACCCAAAACAGGGCTTTCTAAGAAGTATCAACGGCTTCATCTGCAGAAGATAGATTTCATTAAACAGTTTAGCCAAGTCACAAAACAAATAAGCACATAACTATTAAAAACAAGCCCCCCAAATGAAGGAGGAGAATCAAGAGTCTAGAATTGATGCAGTGTATGTGTAAAATGTCTAAGTTTTCAACAAAAAATGATTAGACATGTAAAGAACCAGAAAGCGTGACCCATACACATGAAAAAGCAGGCAAAAGAAATTGCCTTTGAGAGGTCCCAGATATAAATTTAATAGAAAAAGACCTGGAGGAGTCATTATAAATATGTTCAAAGAAAGAAATCATGCCTAAAGAAGTAAAGAAAACTATAACAAGAATGTTTCATCAAGAAGCTGGGGCTCAAAGGAACAGCACTCGCCTAGCATGTGTGAGGCACTGGGTTCAATCCTCAGCACCACATAAAAATAAATAAATAAAATAAAGGTATTGCATCCATCTACAACTAAAAATATACTTTTTAAAAAAGTTCTGGACCTGAAAAGTACAATAACCAAAATTTCAAATTCACTAGAGTAGACCTGAACCAGCAGACAAAAAAACCTAGAAAACAGAATGAAGAAAAATGAACAAATTCTCAGAGCAACTTAACTGTCTCAAAATGAAAAATAAAAAGGACATGGCTAAGTAGTAAAATACCTCTGGGTTCAATTCCCAGTAAAAAAGAAAAGCCAAGACATATCCACAACAAAATTTTATAATCCTTATAAAGTTTTCAAATCTAACATTATGAAGGTTCTTGGATATCTTTTCAAAATACACTACACAATATAGAGAAACTGAGTAAATAATAAAAAATACATTTAAAAAATGGAAGACAGATTTTTTAAATATTCAAAAGGAAGGTACAAGCTGGGCATGGTGGCATATGCCTATAAACCCAGCTACTTGGGAAGCTGAGACAGGAGAATTGCATGTTTGAGGCCAGCTTCAGTATCAGAGACCCTGTCTCAAGAAATAAAACAGGAGCTGGGTTTGGAGGTGCAGGCCTGTAATCCCAGTGGCTCAGCTAAAGCAGGAGAATTGCAAATTCAAAGCCAGCCTCAGCAACTTAGTGAGGCCCTAAGCAATTCAGCAAGACCCTGTCTCTAAATAAAATATAAAAAAGGGCTGGGGATGTGGCTCAATGGTTAAGCGCCCCTGGGATCAATTCCCAGTATCAAAATAATAATAATAACAACTACAACAACAACAAAAATAAAACAGGTTGGAAATGTAGCTCGGTGATAGAGTGCCCCCGGGTTCCCAGTACTACAAACAAAACAAAAGCAAAACAAAAAAAGGGAGATAGAAATATGGAAAGGAAAAACATCAGAATAAACTGATATTAGACTGAAACTGAATGTACCGCTGTGAACTTATGTTTTCCACACACATTTCCTAGCTTTATTTCACTGGACTGGTCTAGAAACGATGATATTCTAATAACAATGATCATACTAGGTGTGCTCAGATCCTTTCTCATAAATATCATTTCACTGAAAGGACACAGAGCTCACTAAAATCCTGATTTCCAGAACTGGTGCAGAGAAAGTATACAAGGAATTTGGAATGATTTGTTTCAGAAATTGAAACATTAAAAGAGTATTGGGGATACATCAAAAGGTAGAATTAGTTTAAAGCAAAGCCCATTAGTCTAATCTGGACAACCTGAGGTCAAAATAAATAATGATAGCAAGAAATTACAACTGAAGAAATAAGAATCAAGAGTCCATACTAACAATGTAAAGCCTATCAAATAAGTAAATAAAAAGGGGAGAAAAGCAAAGTTATACCTTATAATATAATTCACCAACACAAATGTAGGAGGAATAAATAGCATTTAAAAAATGTGTCAAGTCATCCCAGATTCAAAATTTCATTATCAGAGGATGCTGTAACTAACGGGTGAAATTTTAATGAGAAATGGGGTCTTTTTTTTTTTTGGTAGCAGAGATTGAACCCAGGAACACTTAACCACTGAGCCACATCCCCAGCCCTTTTTATATTTTATTAAGAGACAGGGTCTCAAGTTGCTTAGAGCCTTGCTCCTGAGGCTGGCTTTGAACTCTGATTCACCCTCTCAGCTTCCCAAACTGAGGGGAATGCAGGTGTCTGCCACTTCACCCAGCTGAGAATTGGGGTCTTTACACAGTTTCAAAGGATCTCTTCACAAAAATACTTAACTTTACACTGGAAAATGTGAGAGTTACCATCTTACCAAATTATAAAACTATATTATATAGCATTATATTCTCCTGACATGATACACTGAGAAGAAAGAATAATATCTATGGTATTCCTGCCCAAACTACACATCCTGAAATCAAGAGAAATCATCAAATTGAGGGATAGTGTATGTAGTTACTGTCCTACATGCTTCTAAAATGTCATGGACAAATAAAGACTAAGGAACTATTCCAGATCAAAGGAGACTAAAGAGATGTGGCACTTAAATTAAAGGCATCATGTGATTGTGCATTGGACTGTGAACAAGAAAGGAGAAAAAAGGAAAACAAATTTATTTTATAAAATACATTATCTGGTAAATTGGCAGAATTTAAAAGGGGTCTATAAACTAAATGGTAGAAGTGTATTGACATTAATTTCCTGATTTTGATTTGCATACTGTGGCTATATAGAATGTCCTTGTTTTCTGGATGCACATTACAAACTTACTCAAACTTGATTAAAAAAAATTTGAATATGTGTGCTTATGTGTACAGAGAAAGAAAAAGACTATATGTAAGGCAAATGGATAAAAAATTTTTGTACTATTCTTGCATCTTTTTCTAGGTTGGAAATTACTTTGGAATAAAGTTAAAAAAAAACAGTGTATTCTTTAAAAAAAAATTGGCAATAAGAAGGAAACTTCTGGATCCTGACCTATAGATTAATCATGTCCACTGGAGCTCAACACTTTTGCCTATGAATACACAACATTTAAAAATGTTAAGTATCAATATTCTCAAAAGCTACAAAATTAGTTTCTTGTGTTAAAGGTGATAGATATTTTTGTTCTTTCTTCTGATCACCCAAAAGGTAAATTCTTATCTTTACAATTTCTAAGAAGTTTGAAGAGGTATATGGTAAGTTACTAACATTTTCAGTGTCCTCTGCTCTAAATTGAAGGTTAGCACCATGTGACTGTTAATGAAAATATATTATAATAAACACCATTTGTAATACTGAAGTCACACAAAATATTCATCAATAAGGTTAAATAAACTTTTAAATCTTGAAAAATATATTAATTTCAGTATATTTTAGCATTAGTACTTTGAAATTAACTTATAAAATATGAAATACTATCCATGGTAAGTGATAGAAGTCAATTAATTTGTCTCATTCTACCTATTTCTATAAGCACAGAAAAAAACTTGGGGAGACTTCACACTAATCTAAGGTAGATAACCTTAAAGGTAACGTACTTTCAATTTTTACTTTATGTACTTACATATTTTGTTTATTATAGTTTGTTAAGGTCTGTAAACAAGTAGTTGGTACTAGAGGGATTGAACCCAGAGCCTAGGCTCTATTACTGAGCTATATCCCCAGCCCATTTTTACTTTTCATTTGGAGACAAAGTCTCCCTAAGTTGTCCAGGTTGGCCCCAAATTTGCCATCCTCCTGCCTCAGCCTTCTGAGTTGCTGGGATTACAGCTGGGCATATATATATATTTGGTGCTGCTGGGCCTTGTGCATGCAAGGCAAGCACTCTACCAACTGAGCTATAGCCCCTCCCCAATTTTTTTAAACATAAGGCATATATTAATTATGGATCAAAAAGTAAAGAAAAGGAAAAAAAAACTTATCTTACTAGTATATAACCATAAATTGACTCACAAAAAGAAATTGGCATAAACACTACTTCTTGGGAAAAAGGAAAACCTCTTAATACCTTGATTTCTCATTGGAATGGTTAGCAGAGCAAGATATGGCAACAGCTGAGTTTGGAGGCATAAAGCTGGTAGGCAGAAGTCAGAAAAAAGTGCTTTTGCTGCCATGCAGTTTTCCCGATACTGTTTAGAAAAAAAAATGATAGGAAAATGAAATTTAAAAATATAGTTCTGTGTTCCAAATAAACTGTTTATTATATCACATACTGTGTGAGTTTACATACCACAAACATACTTTTGAGAGTTTATCTAGAAGGAATCCTTTAAGATTTTTCCTAGCATTATCTAATATTATGTCACATCAGCAACAACCTCACACATCGTGTTTATCAATCATTCTGACTATATCAAGAGGCCATGTCTAAGTGACTGACCTATATAATACAGGCTTATATAAGAACACTTGATGATGTTGATATAATCATGAACCTGTTTGACAATGTAGTTTTTATTTTTTTAATTTTTTTACTTGTTGGTGGACCTTTTATTTAATTTATTTATATGTGGTGCTGAGAATTGAACCCAGTGCCCCACACATACCAGACAAGGGCTCTACCACTGAGCCACAACCACAGCCCCAACGATGCAGTTCTTGAACATGCTCCACCAATGTTAAAAGTTCTCAGAATGTGTCTGTGTAGTTAAGTGATGAATGAATGTACATCATGAGTAACTAGTAGTCACTATGGTGTACAACAGACCTCAAACTTATTTCTTCTAATTGAAATGTATATCCTAGGTTTTAACTAAACTAGGATGTAACTAAACTTTGATTTCAGTAAAATTTGTGCTTTCAAATTTTGATATTTTAAAAAAAATTTTAAAAAAGACCTTAAAGAAAATGGTCCTTTTTACATTTTTATAATCATTCCAAGAAAACCGCAGGCTTCAGCAACTTTTATTTTACTAAAATAAAACCTTTTTCTTTTTTCACTTTAAAAAACAAAACAGGGCTGGGACATGGGCAGGACCTGGGTTCAATCCTCAGTTCCACATAAAAATAAAGGCATTGTGTTGTGTCCATCTACACTTTAAAAATATTTAAAAAGAAGTCGTATATATACATATACATGTATATTTATATCTTAGTTCACATGCAATAAAGTTCACTTTCATTCAAAGTATACTTTAAAATTTTACTTTATTTTTACCTTTTTAAATATTAGAAACCACTGAGGTTTGTGTAAGGGTCGAAAACTTGATCCTCCTCCTTGGCAATGAGCAAATCCTCGGGCTTTGTTGGAATGCATCACACCTCTTGTAGCTACAGATGTACTATATTCCCTGAGTAAAGAGCGTGTCTAATAAATGAGACAAGACATGAAATATATGAGATTTACAAAATAGTGTAATAATAATGTTTTATTATTATTATTGTTGTTATTAGGTACTGGGAATTGAACCCAGGGGTACTTACTCACTGTACCACTTCACCATCCCTTTTCATTTTTCTTGTTTGAGACAGGGTCTCACTAAATTGGTTAGGGCCTTGCAAAACTACTGAGGCTGGCTTTGAACTTATGATCCTCCTGTCTCAGCCTCCTGAGTCTCTAGGATTACAGGCTCGTGCCACAACAGCTGACTACAAAATAGTATTATTCATACTACTAAGGCATACATAAAAATTAACTTAAATATTTGGTTACTATGTGTTCACTTTTCCCAACATTACTGCAGCCCTAAAAATAATAGTGCTACAAAATTATTTAAAGCAAATTCAACTTTGACAAAAAACCAAATGCAGTGAAAGAACTCTGCTTGGGTCTTGGATAGGGGTGAGGTAAACAACTGTACATACTTTTTTTTTTTAAAGAACAAGGTATTTTTAATTTTTTTTTAAGATTGTTGATGGACCTTTATCATATTTATTTATATGCAGTGCTGAGAATCAAAGCCAGTGCCTCTCACATACTAGGCAAACATTCTACAACTGAGCTACAACCCTAGCCCTTTAAATACATTTCTGAGGCAACTTGGGACAATAAATTAATGTTAACTTTCTTAGATTTGATGTTATAGACCAGTATCTTTATTAATGCTTTAAGTATTAAGTGTCATGTTTGCAATTACTTTCCAATTATGCAGTCAATAACAAATGTGTAAATACATAGAGAGTAAGCAAATGTTGCAAAACATAAAAAAACTAGTAAACAAAAAGTTAAATATAAGCCAGGTGCGTGGTGCAGGCCTGTAATCCCAGCAGCTCAGGAGGTTGAGGTAAGAGGATCATGAGTTCAAAGCTAGCCTCAGCAATGGGGCAAGGCACTAAGCAACTCAGTGAGACCTTGTCTCTAAATTAAATACAAAATAGGGCTGGGGATGTAGCTCAGTAGTTGAGTGTCCCTGAGTTCAATCCCTCGCACCCCTACAAAGTTAGAAATAAACAACTTTTTTTTTTTTTTTTTCTGGTATCAGGGATTGAATCCAGAGGGTGCTTTACCACTAACTTACACCTTCAGCCCTCTATTTTTTATTTTGAGACAGGATCTCACTAAATTGCCAAGGCTGGCCTGGAACTTGTGATACTGCTATCTCAGCCTCCTGAGTAGCTGGATGACAGGTGTGTGCCATCACAGCTAGCAAGGGTGTGCAGGTCTTCAATGTACTATTCTTCCAACTTACCTATATGTTAGAAATTTTCAAAATAAAAAAGAAGCAATTATATGAAGATATAAAAAATGACAGAGGGCTAGGGTTGTGGCTCAGCGGCAAAGTGCTTGCCTAGCACATGTGAGGCACTGGGTTCGATTCTCAGCACCACATAAAAATAAATAAATAAAGGTATTGTGTCCAACTACAACTAAAAAAATAAATATTAAAAAAAATGTCAGGGCTGGGGTTTATAGCTCAGTGGCACAGCACTTGCCTAATGAGACACTGGGTTCAATCCTCAGCACCACATAAAAATTAAAAAACAAATAAAATAAAGGCATTCTGTCCATCTACAACTACAAAAAAGTTAAAAAAAATGACAGAAGTTTAAGATGATGATATATATATTAATTACCTTGAGTTGATTACTATCAACTGTATACATGAATCACTGTATATTACATTGAACCTCATAAATATTATGTGGTAAACAAAAAATATTTCTAAAGAATTATAAAAAAGTTAAGTAAATGAGACAGGCATGGTGGCACATGCCTGTAACCCCAGCTAATCAGGACACTGAAGCAGGAGGATCCCAAGTTTGATAGACCCTGTCTCAAAATAAAACATAAAAAGGGTTAGGGATGTAGCTTAGAGGTAGACTGCCATTGAGTTTAATCCCCAGTACCTAGAGAAAACAAACAAAAACCACACACACTAAAATGCCGAGTAATGAAATCTATAGTTATTAATGTCATTCAATATTTATAACAAAGAAATATTAACATATTAAAATAGTGTTGTCCAGAATAATTTCTATAATGATGGAAATAGTCTGTAGTAGGGTTGTTCAATACAGTAGCTACTAGTCACATGCAGCTATCAAATACTAGAAATATGTGGCTATTGTGACTGAGGAACTGAATGTGGCTAGTGACTGCTGTACTGATCAGGGTAGGTAAAGATAGTAGGAAAAAACATAGAGGCTGAGCATTATGGCGCATGCCTGTAGTCCTAGCTTACTGAGGCAGGAGGTTCACTTGAGGCCAGGAGTTTGAGACTAGCCTGTTCAATGTAGTGAGACCCTAATCACAAACAAATAAACAATTTTGATGCTGGGAATTGAAACCAGGACCTTGTGCATGCAAAGTACATGCTCTACATTAAGCCAACCTCCAGTTAATACAAATTTTATAATAATTTGTATTTATAATAATTTATATTTCAAATATTTTTTAAAAATTTTTAAATGAACAGTAGAACAAGATGTATAGTCCTTGTCTTTATAATTTCCAATGGTTATTAATCTTATATATAATTATTAAGTGTATATATATTAATTTTGAAATCAGAAAATAACTTCAGAAAAAATTAGTGCTATATTATTAACAGAAAAATCAGATAACTTACTGAGGCTTCTTTATAAACACTGGATTGGATTAATTCATTTTAGCATAGTAATTAAGGAGTCAGAAAATTATGTCAAATAATTAAGGATAAAAGAAAAATTTCTTTTCTCAGTTCTAAGGAAATACAAACATAAACATTTAGGTCAAATGGTCTTACATTCCAGTCACCACTGAGGACATCTGCAAAACTGAGAAATTCACTGGCTCTCACAAGATCATCTACTTCCATGAAGAAATCTATGTAGTTTTGGTGGAGATATAAATTAAATAAGTCTCCTGGCATATGAGACATTTCTACTACTTCCTATAAAAAGAAGCAGAAACATATACATAATTTTGATCAAAATATCATTGTATATATGCACATACGTAATATATGCTTGGTAAACAGTACTAAGTGTCATAAAGACCTTACCTCGGGTTGAATAAGTAATGTATCCCGCTCATGCTCTGATAAATGAGATGGCAACTGAGGTGAGTCCAATTCTGTTAAAGGTGCTCCTATAAAAAAAATTTCTGTAATTATTTAAAATAATGCCATTTTTACAATTAGCATCTTTTATTTGAAGATTTTCAACACTTCAGACACATAATGCCAAAATACTGAACAAGCTATTAAAAATTAAAAACAACAAAATAACTGGAAGTTTGCCAATGGTATTACTATTAATAAGAACTAAATTTGAAATTCCAATGCCTGAATTATGCTTTTCCAAGCCTAAAACATTCCACTTTCTCAAAGCACTTCTCATTTTACCTTTCTAGCTCTGATTGCTTTCTTCCTTTGATTCATTTCAATATAAAACTCTTATTCAGGGCTGGGATGTAGCTCAGTGGCAAAGCGTCTGCCTTGCATTCGCAAAGCTCTGGGTTTGACCCCCAGTTCCAAAAAAGACAAAAAATAATAATAATAATAATAATAATATTTAAAAAAAAAAACTCTTATTCAATATAAAAACTCTTTACACATTTTATTTACTATGTACAAAGATGCTGCTCTCTGCCTGGGAGAATAGTAATCCAGTTCCCTAAAGCAAGAGAGGTCATAAGCAAACACTGTAGAAAAAAAAAAAATGGGTGAAAGGAAAAGAATCAGGTGAGAATGGTCACTAAGATACAGAGGTGAGAGGATCCAGGACACAGGAAAATCTCTACTGCCACCTAAGTGATGGCCATTTCATTTTCCCATTGTGGCATGAAGGTTTCCACAAAGAAATCCTAATTTCTTCCTTCAGAATTATATGACTATAAACTGATATTTGCTATATAAAGAACAGGAATTTGAGATTTCATTCAAAGGAGGGACAATTTGGGAGGATAGGAATGAGCAACAGGGATAGATGGGGTAAGAGGCAGAAGGCATCAAAATGGGAGAAGATGGCAATGAACACTTCTGGTTGGGGGTCAGCAAGTTATTGAAAAGTAGAGAAATTTAAGAGGAGCAAAAGAAACCTTAAGTTACCTGGCTATTTGCCTAAGACCCTCTTGCCTAGAGCCTAATGCTAGGAGAACTCTGAATAGCAATTCTTGCCACTCAAACTCTAGAAGGACTGATGTCTTACCTTTAACAAACTATAATTTTAATAATTTAAAGACATGAATATGGCCGACATTAGGTTTTTTGTTGTTGTTGCTTTGTTTTGTTTTTGTGGAACTGGGAATTTAATCCAGAGGTGTTCCACTACTGAGCTATATCCCAGCCTTTCTATTTTTTGAGACAGGGCCTCACTAAGTTGCTGAAGTTGGCCTCCAACTTGAGATCCTCCTGCTTTAGCCTTCAAAGTCACTGGGATTATATTTAATCCTGTTTATAGTCAGAAAACACTTCATATAGTAAAATGCACTTTCCTGCTATGTCTTAAGCCTTGCCAGACAGTATCTAACCTAGCCCTGGCTCTTGTAACAAAACAATTTCATGGCATTTTAAAAAAATGTGTTATTTCCATTTTGAGACTAATATCCAATAAAAAAAAATGCACAAAATTTCTTACTTTTACAATACAGAATTTTCCCCAAAGCTCTGAAGAGAAAAAGAGAAGCATCTTTTCCACCAATAGCTTGAATCTCTTGATTTTCAAAAACCCTATCAGGTTTTTTGACTCGCTTTGATTTTGACAGCGCAGCATCTGATTTTAATGATACTCCTTTTTTCCTTGGCCACAAATTGCTCTCTCCTAAATAATATACACCAAAGTGACAATAGTTTAAAATAAAATCAAAATATGAAATTAAAGTTAAGAACATTTCAGTTAATTCCAATTAAAATGTTTTTTTTTAATAGACAATAATTATAAAATACATGAACTGTGTCAGAGTCCTCTTTGAGAGGCTAGTAAAAATGGAAAAAAAAGGGGCTGGGGTTATGGCTCAGTGGTTGAGTGCTTGCCTCGCATGTGTGAGGCACTGTGTTCAATCCTCAGCACCACATAAAAAAGTAAATAAATAAAGATATTGTGTCCATCTACAACTAAAAAATAAAATATAACCGAAAATGGAAAAAAAAGGTTATTTTAAAATTATCTCATAATTTCCAGCACCAAAAGAAAAAAAACTCATGATGCCTATTGCAAATTTTCACATACATAATGACTCGTTAATGCATTAGTATCATCTTGGTTTCTCATGGTGTTATATATACCTTACTGCCTTTGGTGCATGATATACACTATTTAATCCTCACAGCAATTCTATGAGGGAGGAATAATTATAACAGTTAAAGAACTGAATATAAAGAATTTAAGAAACTGGCTTAAGGTCAACAGTGAATAATGAGAACCCAAGAAGTCCGGATTCAAATCGTAGTATTTATTTCATTAGGCTGAACAGAGAATTAAATTGGAAAAACCATGGAATTGCTCAGATACTTCTTGATCTACTCAAAAATTATATTCTTCACTTTAAAATTTCTGAGCCCAGAGCAGTAACGTTAGGACTCCAAATTGGTTCATGTTAATTTTTCTACCTCATAGATTCCAGCACTAAACTTAAGCATGTTTGTTTTGTTTTTTCCATAGAAATATGTGAAATTCTGATTTTATTTTTAAAAAATGTTTAATTATTTGTGGTACTGTGAACTGAACCTAGGCATGCTCCACCAATGAGCTATAGTCCCAGTCCTTTTTATTTTTTATTTTGAAACAGGGTCTCACTAAATTGTTGAGTCTGGCTTTGAATTTGTGTGGTAGTCCTGCCTCAGCCTCCTGAATAGGTGGGATTATAGGCCTGTGCTAGTGTACCCAGCTTACTTATTTATTTATTTATTTTTGGTACTGGGGATAGAACACAGGGGCACTTAGCCACTGAGCCATACCCCCAGCCCTTTTTTGTTTTTCTAATAGACAATAATTATAAAATACATGAACTGTGTCAGATCCTCTTCTTTAGAGACAGGGTCTCACTGAGACCTTAGCCCCTTACTAAATTTCTGAGGCTGGCTTGCAATCTCTTGCCTCAACTTCTGGAGCCACTGGGATTATAGGCGTGCGCCACCACACCTGGCACTTCACTTACTCTTTATACAACCCCATGAGATAGGTTCTTATATAAAAGGTGAGAAAATAGAGGCACAAAAAATGAAGTTACTCACACAGTACTACCCAACTGTTGCTGAGGCTGACCTTCAAATTTTGATCCTCCTATCTCAGCCTCCCAAATTGCTGGGATTACAGGCGCATGCCATCATACTTGGTAGGCCTATCCACTTGTTAAGTGACAGAAAGAGGATTTTCCCTAATAAGTGACTTTAAATAATTTTAAAAGGCAAAGTAGCAAATCATATAAATGAATCCAGGTTTGTCTCAAACAGATCTAAGTTCTTTGCACCAAGCTTCAGAGGTACATAGGTAAACAATGATATATTCATAAAGAGGTGTATATTCATGTGTGTATGTATAAAATTTTAAGTCACTGTATCAATAAAAGTGTAGATAGGTATAATCCCCTCTTACTGGAGATATGTTCTAAGAACCTCAATGGATGCCTGAAATTTCAGATAGTACAATGCTCCATGTACTGCTTTTTCCTACATATATAACATACACAAATTTAATGCCTTTCCAACTTAAGTATTTATCATGTACTGTGGCCATATGCAACTTTTATAAGTTTGAGGTGTGACAACAAAACTAGCACAAATTTCTTTTCCCTTTCATATTTTCAGGGGTGAAAGATTCCTTCGTACCAATAGATCTTAGCAATCCCAGCATACAATTTTTTTTCTTTCCTCATTAAGAACTTTCAACTTCTCACTTAAAAGCTAGCACTTTATGATTTCTCTTTGGCATTTATGAACTGCCAGCATCACTACTCTTGCACTTTGGGGCCATTATTAAGTAAAATAAGTTGCCTGAATTGTGATGCCATGATAGTTGATTTGATAACCAAGATGGCTCCTGACTATCAGGCAGTGTATAAACTGTGGAAACAATGGACAAAGGGAAGATTCACTTACTGGGTAAGACAGCAAAAGATCTCATTGGATTATTCAGAATGGAGCAAAATTTAAAACTTGTGAATTGTTTACTTCTGGGATTTTTAATTTAGTATGTTGAGACTGCAGTCAACCATATATAACTTAAACCACAGGTAAGGGGAACTACTGTATATCAGTTATAAGTTAAAATATGTTTAATTTGGGTTGGGATTATTGCTCAATTGTAGGGCATTTGCCTAGCATGTCCAACATCCTGAATGTGATCTCCAAAACAGAAAAAAATAAATAAATACAAATTTTAAAAAAGGAAGAAAAAGATTAGTTTGATTTCATTTCATGAATAATTAAGAGAAAGTCATTCATCTATCTAATGCTATACAAATGTATCTTTTATAGTTACCTTTTGAAGAAGAAAACTGGAGGCTGTTTATTGCACTTCTGATATCACCAGAACATCCTTGACAAAGCAATTCTAGAGAAGTTTTATTGGGGACAATAATTTTTCCTCCGTTCTAAAATGAGAAAATTAAAATTTAAAAAAACTTTTTCTTAAAAGAAAAAAAAGTTGTAAAGTTAATGGAGGTGAATTATATTCTTTCAAACTTAAATGGCAAAAATATCTCCATGTTAAACACTAGTGTTTCAACTTAGCATAGCTTAAGATAAAATTCTAGGAGTATTAAATATTGTTTCTGTTTTTACTTTGACCAGGTTATATTTCTAAGTTCTTGTTTTCTCACTATATGTATACATGTACACATGCACACATACATAAATAAGGCTGTTTCATATATGTTTCAGATATGTCAATTTTTAAGATATGTATGAAAATCTAAATATATATCTATATATGTTTATATCAGTTTACCATATCCTTGTAGTGCAATTATAAGGCAAGAAACTTTTACCTACCTTTCCTTCTTCAGAAATCCCTAATGGTTTATTGACAAATGACTTATGTGACCCTTCATTACTTATCCCACTTTGGATACTGTAACAACTGATTATAGTAGAAAAATAATACAATACTACAATCCTTCAATGTATAATTTTATTTTAAAATTTACTAACCAAACTGTTGCAAGAGTTCCTTATGAAAAAGTCTCCTCAAATCCCAAACTTCATCTTAAGTGTTAACATTTAGTTAGTATCTTTCCAGACCTAAGCTCTTCTCAAACTTGTGGGCTGAAGTGATCGTCTACAAAGCCATCTAAGTGGTCGGGGCTACAGGAGTGTGTCACTATGGCCAATTACAGTTTAATTTGTTTTATAAATTGCAAATATTTTCTTAAGTGCTCATGACTATGTTTTAAATTTGTTTCATTTAACTTTGTTAATGCCTTCTGTTATTTCCTAAGTTTTACATTTTTTAAAGTAAATCTTACATCAGTTCATCAGTTATTCTTTATGATTTCAGGGATTTTATTTCTTTCCCGTCTCCAAACTCAATATTTTTCCTTACATTCTTCTAATGTTGATTTCTGTATTTAAACATTTAATTCACCTAGAAATTTCTTATATGTATAATATGAAGTAAAAATACAACTTTATGGTTTTATCTATGTATATCAAATGGTTTTAACACCATTTTTTGACTTAAAAAGTCTACTTTCCCCAGAGACTTAAAATGCTACCTACATTATATAGAAAATTCCCATTTACACATGTAGATCTATGTCTGTGCTGTCTTCCCTTTTCATTCTTCTATTTTATTATTGTGCCAATATGACACAGTCATAATATCTATAGTTTCAGATTATGCTATATTTAGATAGTCTTTCCCTTCATTGTTCATTTACAAAACTTTCTCTTTGCTGTGAATTCCTGTTCCAAATTAACTTTTACTTTTGTTATTAATACATCTAATCAAAATCATTTTGTTGAACTGGGTGCCATGATGTAAGCCTGTAATCCCAGTGACTTGAGAGGCTGAAGCAGGAGGATTACAATCCAAGGCAGTTTTAGCAATTTAGGTGAGACCCTATCTCAGAATTAAAAAAAAAAAAAAGGGCTAGGGATGTAGCTCAGTGTTTAAGTACCCCTGGGTTAAATCCACAGTACTCTATCACCCCCCCTACAAAAAAAAACTGTTTTGAGGGCTACAAGGTAGCTCAGTGGTAGAAGGTGTTTTAGCATGAACAGGGGCTTTAATTCAATCCCCAGAACCAAAATTTAAAAAAACAGAAAACCAAAAGTCCTTGGTAAAACACTGTTTTGAGACGGTATTTGTTTTTAAATATTTCTAAATATAGCTGGGCATAGCGATGCATGCCTGTAATTCTAGGGAGGCTTAGGCAGAAGGATGACAAGTTCAAAGGCAGCCTCAGCAACTTAGCAAGATCCTCAGCAATTTAGTGAAACCCTCTCTCAAAATAATAAAAAAAGGGGTGAGGATATAGCTCAGTGGTAAAGTGCTCCTTCAATTTCTAATAACCCCACCTCCCCAAAAAAATCTAGATATGGATTATTTGCCAAAAAGAAAATGTAACTTGAAATCACAATCCTTAGAGGCTAAAGAAAATCCCATGAATGTTAATTATTACAAACATACAAATGTGACTAAAATCACGTAAGATGCCAACACTTTTAATATAATTAAGGTAAAAGATATGAGAGATTAAACCGTTCTTTACAAATGCCTATACTACATTATCATTCGTGGAGAGCCTAAGGAAAATATCATAACATATGATCTTATATATGCTTGAAGGACTTGACTAGTGCATTTATTATTGCTTCTGTGACATAAAGTAACAAGGATGACATCAAAACTATACTGGTTCTAACATTCTTTGACTTCAATTATTTAGAGTTAAGTATGTTAATTACATAACAAAATATGGCATCTCTTTCGACTATACAATATAACTTTTTTTGTGTGTGATTCTGGGGATTGAACACAGGTCCTCACATATGCTTGGCAATTGCCATACACATAGCCTCAACAGTTGTTATTTATTCATTAAAATGTTTAACCCTCAAAACAACCTCTTCCTCGGACATTTCCCTCACTTCTTGTAATTGCAACAAAAACTATGTGTCATGCAAGATCTGGGTGATTTGTGGCAGTAAGACAACCTAGAACCATATGACTGGAAGAAGTTCCATCAATTTATTTTAATATCATCGCAACTTGGAAGACAGAAAATATGATGCATCAAAAGTGACAACAGCTATTTTACAATAAGGTAAATACTATTAACATTACTTACTGAACTGTATACTCTTACATGGTTAAGATGATAGACCATTATTTCACTTTTAAAATTTTTATTTTTGCAATGCTGGAGATTGAACTGAGGCCTTGTGCATGCTATGTAAGCTCTCTACTACTGAGCTATGTCCTGAGCCTATGGTATATCTCATTGCCACAATTTTTAAAAAATGTATGTTTGTGTTTAACTTTATTTTATTTATTTATTTTTTATGTGGTGCTAAGAATTGAACCCAGTGCCTCACACATGCTAGGCATGTGCTCTACCACTAGACGACAACCCCAGCCCCTATATGTGGCTTTTAATTTATTTATTTATTTATTTATTTATTGGTTCCAGGGATTAAACTCAGGGGCACTTAACCACTGAGCCACATTCCCAGCCCTACTTTGAATTTTATTTAGAGAAAGGTCTTACTGAATTGTTTAGTGCCTCACTTTTGCTGAGGTTAGCTTTGAACTTGATATCCTCCTGCCTCAGTCTCCTGAGCTGCTGGGAGTATAGGTGTGTACCACCACACCCAGCTTGTATGTGTGTTTTTAAATGACAAGTGGACAATAGTAGAAATGAAATGTTGATGATTAAGATATCTAGATTCCTCAAAATACTTTCTTGATGATAACAATTCAGAGTCAAAAGACAAGCAAAAGAAAAATTGTAGAAAAAGGTTAGAGAGCTTTTTAATTGATATTTCTTACATTTACTAACATGAAATGCCTTATAAAATTTTTGAATCCTAAAAACCAAAACCACATCTCTAACTCCTCTAGTTTACAATTATATAAGTGGGGCTTTCTGTAGCTACAATGTAATATTAATCAGAGAATTACCTTATTAGCTTCTATAGTCACTATTCGGTTAAGAAATTTCATCATAATTGTTGGTGCCACAGGGTTGAAACTGTAAAGTTTTATAAAGAAAGACGGTGTTAAATGATTGATTTCAAAATATAACATATATGTAAACATTATAAGCAGAAATTTATTTCTCACCTAATGTTTGCAATAGAACACTCTTCTTGAATTTCTTTGGGAAAGAGTAACCTATGATTATTATCTCCACTGGCACTGTCAGAGATTATAAATATAAGAGGACACCGGCCAATCTGTACATACTTCCTAAGAAAATAACAAAAACCAACAATGTTGACATTTAAGCCACTTGACATATAATGACTTACTTAATTACCCAGCCTCCTGCTTTAATGGTATGGATTGAACCCAGGGCATCATACATGCTAGCTGAACACTACAGTCATTAATCCCAAACCACAATGCAAATACAGAATACTGTATTTCACTAATATTTACCTTAGAACTTCATGTAAAGTGTGAGAGTCTCGATAAAACTGGTTAGGTAAATCCTATTAAAAATATAAGACCAATATTAGTATTAGTATTCCACTGCATACTTATTTTCAGATTTATATTCATCAAGAAGAAATTTTATTTATCCAGTGTATTTTAACTATAATTTTCAAATAAATTATGAGAAACATAAAATAGCTGTTAGCCTAAATAGTAAAATGTACTAACGAATACCTCAATTTTCAGATCAAAGTTCTCAGGGTCACTTTAGCAGCTACAGTACAGTGAGAAATAATTTTCCAAATATTTCCTTTGTTTTTCTATACTTAGGCTATTACATTTGTAAAGTCTATTAATTTAAAGCTACTCTATTGTTAACCTACAGCTATGTTATTTAAGTTTACTGAAAAAGCCTTTATGTTTTGGTAATCACAAAGCAACTATTATTGATACTACGTAGGGAGTTAATGTTAACACGTAAGACATATCTCAAATTGTTTACTAAATAGCTATGACAGGGTTTTAAAAGGTCTCCTTACTTCAACCAGAATTATCTTCTTATCAGTTCTCAGATCATCTCCAAGCATTTGTAATTTGTTATATTTTGTTGCTCTTAGTAGAAACTCTCTGAACACTGCTATCTGAGATTGATATGGAAATGAATGGAAGTTTGATTCTGAAAGAAAACACATTTATCACTTTAATTTTCAACAAATTAGACACTAATATTATACACATATATATACCCATGTATAAATTTATTTCCATATGCATGATGTAGCCCACAATATGTTAAGATTATTTTATAATGAAACAAGTCTCCAATACTGTAAAATTGTTCTAATTTAAAATAGCATATTCATTTCAAAAGATAAGGATCAATACTGACAACAGTAAATTCTCTGTATCAATGATGTATCGGGGTTAGCTGACTTTAGAAAACAGCTGTCAGTATAAAATTCATACAATTGGTAAAAATCTCTGACTTTGGATGACACAATTAAGACTCTTGAAATGGGGGCTGTGGTTGTGGCTCAGGGGTAGAGAGCTCGCCTGGCACGTGCGAGGCCCTGGGTTGGATCCTCAGCACCACACAAGCATAAATAAATAAATAAAATAAAGATATTGTGTCCAACTAAAAAATAAAATATTTAAAAAAGACCCTTGAAATGAATGCAAGATTATAATTATTGTTGATAATAAAGGTTTAACAACAAAAACAGGATGGCTGATTTGTCAATTTAGGGACAAAATGTCTCTTAAGCTATGTTTCACATAGAAGACTTTAAATAAAGATTTATCTGTCAAAAGTAATGTTACTATTTGGAAAGCAGCAAAAATTCTAGGAGCATGGGGTACTTGCCAAATATGGTATACATAGAGCATATTAAATAAGAGCCTGGAGAAAAGATTTTTGAGAAATACTCTACATTAAAATGTCTTTCTAAACAACCCCTTTTACTTCTTAATGGTTTAAGAGATTATGGCTACCCCCAGTTTAACCTTTTATAGTATAAGCAAAACTACAAAAGATTAAAATGATAGTGCTCGTCAGGCTTGGTGGCACATGCCTGTTACCCCAACAGCCATGGAGGCTGGGGCAGGGATTGAAAAGTTCAAAGCCAGCCTCAGCAACTTAGTGAGGCCCTAGGCAACTTAGCAAGATAAAAAATAAGGGCAGGGGATGTGGCTTAGTGGGTAAGTACCCCTGGGTTCAATCTCTGGTACCAAAAAAAAAAAAAAAAAAAAAAAAGAGTATATAAACATGTGTGTAAAGTTATAATGCTATTTTATAGCTTTAAAATGTTATAATGATTATTTTTTTGATGTTTGTCTTAAATCCTCCTTCAAAATTCAAAGACCCTCTTTGCCTTATGTTTTGATCTAATTTGATTCTCACAAGTATTTACTAATCTAAGCTATCTTATCAGGAGGCATATTCCTTTAACACATCTTTTTTCTTTGTACTGGGGATTGAACCCAGGAGCACTTAACTATATCTGCAGTCCTTTTTATTTGAGACAGGATCTCATTAAATTGCTGAGGCTGGTCTCCAATTTGCAATACGCCTGCCTTAGCCTTCCTGAATTGCTGAGATTACAGGCTTGGCTATACACATATGTATATACACACACATAAACACACACACATATGAATATATATGTATATACATACGTGTGTGTGTGTGTGTGTGTGTGTGTATATATATTCAAGAACTTTATAGTTTTACATAGTAGTTGGGTTCACCAACAAACTATTCATGCATAGAAATTGATTTCAGTTTTGGCTAACAGATCTTAAAGCTTGATTTCCATTTAAACAAATGAAAAGAACTTACACTATATAATCTCCATAAACATTAAAATATAAGAGTTTGTTACCTAACAAAACAGTTAAGATTTAATCCTTAAGGAATGCCATTCTCTCCTAAGAGCACCTTTCCTTTCTATTGCTAAGATTACTTCCCTTGGAAACTGGAAAGTATGGGAAAAATGCACCCATTTAGCTTCATTTGAAAGCTCCATTAAGCATAATTTTCCCCTGCTATTACAATGTCTTCACAACAAACCTTACCAAAATTAAATATGTCCTTGAAATCATCCTTTTGGAAGTCTGGTAAAACTGGATTAATCCATTCTTGAACTTGAATACCATGTTCTTTTGATAGTATTTTTATAGTTGTTGTCTTTCCACATCCAGGAGGACCTGTTATTAATAAAATAGATCCACCCTAAAACCAAATACAAACATTAATTAAAAACCAAAATCAGGGCTGGCATTGTGGCTCAGAGGTAGAGTGCTCACTAAGCCTGCATGAGGCACTGGGTTTGATTCTCAGCACCCACATAAAATAAAGGTACTGTGTCCACCTATAACTGAAATATTAAAAAAATAAATAAACCACCAAAATCATGTGGAGCATGTCTGTAATCCCAGCGGCTCGGGAGGCTGAGACAGGAGGATATAAAGTTCAAAGCCAGCCTCAACAACTTAGCAAAGCCCTAACAAACTGAGCAGAGCCTTCTCTAAATAAAATATAAAAAGGGCTGGGGATGTGGCTCAGTGGTTAAGAGTGCCTGATTTTTTTTTTTATTGGTTGTTCAAAACATTACAAAGCTCTTGACATATCATATTTCATACAAGAGTGTCTGATTTTAATCCCCAGTACCAAAAACAAAAACAAAATCATGAAGGCCAGGGTGTAGTTGAACAGAGTGATTGCCTAACATGCATGAGCCTGGGGTTTGATTACTAGCACCACAAAAAGAAAAAAACAGAACAAAAAGAAAAAAGCAAAGCATGCAAATCACTAGAATGCTACAATATTAATTTCGAATACTCCTTCTAAATATTATTTATTACTTTTACAAATATTTATTGAACATCTGATAAAGTATACTAAATTTCAGTTAAACAAGTTTTACATAAAATTAGAGAATGTTAATTCCTAAATAACAAACCCCTTTTCTGATAATACCTCAATTCTTAAATTACATTCTTCTCATGGACTGTTCTGTAGCCAAATTAAAACTACCAAACTTTTGCTAAAATAAGGCAGTAAAGCCTGAAACAATGACTTTTAGAGGTTCCTGAACTCATAAAAACCAATCTTAATACATAAATTTGCAACAGAACATAATATTATAAAAGCAAAACATTCTTTTTTGAGAGATTTTGGATATTAGTTTCTTTTAAAAAATGTATATTAAAATGCATATTAGCAGGGCATCATAGTGCACACCTATAATCATAGCAACTTGGGAGGATGAGGCAAGTTTGAGACCAGCTTCAGCAATTTAGAGACTGCCCCCCCCTTAAAAAGTGGAGGGGGAATTGGGGATACAGTTCAGTGTAAAACATCTCTGGGTTCAAACCAAACAACAACAACAACAACAAACATATTTACCAGATATAGAGTTTGTGGGTCTTAATATCATTAACTCAAACAGTAAAATTTATCTACTTTTTGGTACTAGAGATTGAATCCATGGGCACTTTACCACTGAGCTACAGCCCCAGACCTTTTTATTTTTTATTTTGAAACAGGGTCTTGCTAAGCTGCTTAAGACCTTGCTAAACTATTGAGGCTGATCTTGAACTTGGAATCCTGCCCTAGTTTCCCTAGTCACTAGTATTTTAGGTGTACAACAGCACCCGGCTTTATACAGTAAATTTAATTACAAGGTTAAAGCTAAAAATGTATGAGGGGAAAGATTTCCTATATGCAATGATGGGTTGTAATACTTGCTCATCCGTTTACCTTTATTATCCGGTGTAGGTAAGGGTCTGTGTACTTGAATCTAGAAGACAGCCAGTCCCACTTTTAAATATGGCAGTACATGAGTTATACGGTTACTGGCCATGAGAATTCAGTGTTAATCAAACAGAAATATAAATTAAATAAGGCATATAAAACTGATATGTTGACAAAAATGTGACCAAAAGTTTACAGCCACCCAATTCTGAAATTTTCTTAGGAACGGGAGTTTAGTATTCTAATGAATGAACTTCTGACTACTTCAAATAATGAGAAATTACTATACTGTCAAGCAAATCAGTTAAAAAAAAAAAAAAGGAAGCCCATACATTTGAAGATAAACTTGTTTTTCATGTATGACAGCTAAGTGTCTGTTTTATAGCACAGTAGTTAGAGCCACGTGACAGATGTTTTTTTGACAGTAATATAACTAGAAGGTCATCTCTTCTGTTACTGAGGATTGAACCCAGGGGTGCTTAACCACTGAGCCATATCCCTTGCCCTTTTTATTTTGAGACAAGATCCGGCTACATTGCTTAGGGCCTTGCTACATTACTGAGACTGGCTTGGAACTTTCCATCCTCCTGCCTCAGCCTTCTCAGTCAGTGGGCTTACAGGTAAGCACCAACATGCCCAGCTCATCTTTATTAAAACACTGTAATAGCTGGTGTGGTGACGTATGTCAGTAATCCTAATTACTTGGGAGGATGAGGAAGGAAGATCAGAAGTTCAAAGCCAGGTGCTTTTACCACTGAGCTGCATCCCCAACCTTTTTATTTTGAGATAGGGATTCGATAAGTTGCTTGGTTTTGTTTGAACCCAGATTTGGGTTCCTTCCTGCCTCAGCTTCCGAGCTGTGGAGACTACAGGTATGCATCACTGTGTCCACTTATTTTTTATTCTGAAACTGTCTTGCTAACCTGCTGAGCATGGCCTCAAATGTGCATGTGCAGCTCCCCAACTTTTTTTTTTAAAATGTCTTTTAATTACTAAATCATTGAAACATTTGTAAAATAAAAAGTATATGATTGGTTAAAATCCAACATATTGGTGGGGGAGATTTTAGAACTGGTAGGAATACTTCCCCCAATACTTCTATATGTATACACCTAAGTTTGTCCAAATGGTAGCATAATAGTAACACCTTCCTAGACTCAAGACATGATAACGTTTATACTAAAAGAATATTACTAAGTGAGAAAACATTGTGGACAATATAAAATATAAACTACTAGCTTGGGTACAGATTAAAAACAAATCAATAAGACAAACCTTTGATATAAGAGATAAGTCAGAGTAACTACCTAAGAATCTGTACTAAGAGAGATGAGTGAGATTTCTGAGATATCAAAGGCTGACACTGAAAATCCACCTCAAATACATTATCTTTTTCTTTATTTAGGTTTTTAAAATTTTATTTATTTATTTCAATTAGGTATATATGACAGCAGAATGCATTTTGATTAATTGTACACAATTGCAGGACAACTTTTCATTTCTCTGATTGTACATGATGTAGGGTCACACCATATGTGCAGTCAGACATATGGTGTGATGTACTTAGGGTAATGATGTCCATCGCATTCCACTATCTCTTCAAATCCATTATCTTACCCTAAACCATACAGTTAGAGCCACATGCCAGACAGAAAGGAGCCTGACTCAAGAAAGAAGAATCTGTTCTCATCAAAGCATCTAAAATACCACTCCTTCATCTCAAAGTTGAAAATTTAAAGGAAACCCTAATGCAAACAACGGACTTTGGCTGTCAGTGACACATTAATGCAAGTTCATCAATATTAACAAAGGTACCAATCTGGTGGAGATGTGCGGTTATACACATTTGGGGGCAAAGAATATTTGAAAAATCTCTTATCTTCTGTTCAATTTTGCTATGAATCTAAAATTGCTCTAAAAAAAAATAAAGCCTACTAAAAAATTAGAGGAGCCAGGTACAGTGGTGCAGGCATGTAATCCCAGCGGCTCAGGAGGCTAAGGCAGTAGGATCATGAGTTCAAAGCCAGCCAAAGCAAAAGCAAGGCTTTGAACAACTCAGTAACTCTAAATAAATAAATACAAGGGCTGGGGTTGTGGCTCAGTGGCAGAGTACATGCCTTCTATGTGTGAGGCACTGGGTTCGATTTTCAGCACTGTATATAAATAAAAAAAGGTCCATCAACACCTACAAAAATATTACAAATAAATAAAATACAAAATAGGGCTGGGGATGTGGCTCAGTGGTTGAGTGCCCCTGAGTTCAATCCCTGGTACCAAAAAAAAAAAAAAAAAAAAAAAAAAAATTCAAGGAAAAGATCAAGAATTCATCTTGCTTTTTCAGTTGAAACTGTATTTCAAAGTAACTAGTCCTAGCTAGTAACAGCAAAGTTTTCTTTCAAAGAAAAATGCTTGCTAATTAACAAAAAAGAAAAATGCCTATTATTAATTCCAGAAATAACAGAATTATTAGAAAACAACCATTCAAAACCCTAATTAAATAAGTGATTCAGGTAAGGATCAAAAATAGATGCTAAACCAGGTGCAGGAACACACTCCTGTAATCCCAGGGATTTGGGAGGCTGAGGTTAAGATAATCATGAGTTCAAAGTCATCGTCAGCAACTGTGTGAGGTTCTAAGCAACTTAGCAAGACCCTGTCTCTAAATTAGAAATATAAAAAGGGCTGGGGAAGTGACTCAGTGGTTAAGTGCCCAGTACCAAAAAACAAAAACAAAAAAATTTTAGGTTACAGGAAATGTAGACACAGGACAGAAAAGTTCACCATCATCAGAAGGAAACAACCTGACAAAATCAGAATGTGAGGCCTCCATCAGCATACAGGCCTCATTCTCTCTCTCTTTTTTTTTATTTTGCAATACTGGAAATTGAACCTAAGGGCACTTTACTGAGCTACATCCCCAGCCATTTTTATTTTTCTTTTTGAGGCAAAGTCTTGCTAAGTTGCTGAGGCTGGCCTCAGCCTTATAATCTTCTACCTCACTTCCTGAGAAGCTGAATTACAGGTATGTACCACTTGCACGACGCTGGGTGTCTTCAATTAAGTCAATGTCTTAGAGAAAAAGAGAAGATAAATCCAAAAAATAAAATAAAATAAACCTAAGGGATATAATAATCAAACACAATGTGTGGTCCTTGATTAGATCCTAGTTGAAACAAACTGGTAAAATGAATTTATGGAACAAATGAATGTGAATATGAACTTATTATTAGATAACATTAGGACATTACAGTTAATTTTGTTAAACACAATAATAATACGTATAATTAATTAGTAAATTTCTAAAGAGAAGCATACTGAAGTATCTATAAGTCTGATTGAATGTCATAATATTCATAATTTACTATAAAATGCTTACACGAGAAAATGGTGGGTATATTATGGATATATGAGTACTTCTATTTTTCTTTGTCTGAAGAGTCACAAGGTTTAAAAAGAGACTGAGAGAAGGAGAGAATATTTTACTTTGCCAGGGCTGAGCATAATTTTAGAAATAGGAAGTGAAACGAAAACTATCAATCTAAAATGAATAAGACAGTTTTAGGCTATATTTAGGATGAAGATTAGTATGTAATTTGCCTGTAACTTTTTTTTTAAGTTATATATATATATATTTTTTTTAAAGAGAGAGAGAATTTTAATATTTATTTTTTAGTTTTCAGTGGACACAACATCTTTGTTTGTATGTGGTGCTGAGGATTGAACCCGGGCCACAGGCATGCCAGGCGAGCACACTATGGCTTCAGCCACATCCCCAGACCTTGCCTGCAACTTTAGTGAGACAACCTGTTATGCTAAAGATACTAGAACCCCAATCAGCTTACTGTGCCTTATTGCTGATGATAGGACAGAAGGAAAAGGTGATACAAATCAAGGGGGAAACTCCAAGTATCTGAGTCTTAGGACCTTTATTTCCTAAGTCAGGAAACTTTCTATTGGAGGTTGTCTGATTTTACCTAAATAAAATTATCATAAAAGACTAACTTCTTTTGCTTTTTGTTTTTGTTTTGCTTTTGGTACCAGGATTGAACCAATGGTTGCTTAATCACTGAGGCACTTCTCTAATCCTTTTTTGAGACAGAATCTCACTAAGTTGCTTAGGTACTCACTAAGTTGCTGAGGCTGACCTGAAACTTGCAATCCTCTGCCTCAGCCTCCCAAGTCTCTTGGACTACAGGCATCACCACAACACCAGGAAAGATTAATTTTTTGCGACATATTGTTAAGTCAGAGAAACATTTGATGTTAATTCCCTTCCCCTCCTTTTCAGCTTGGTGGAGGGGAGGACTGAACCCAGGGGAGCTTTAGTACTGAGCTACACTCCCAGTCCTTCTTTATTTCTCATTTTGAGATAGGATTTTGCTGTTGCCAAGGCTGGCCATGAATTTGTGATCCTCCTGCCTCAGTTTTAATGTTAAAATATTTTAAAACACATTTCTTATTTAATTACCTGTTTTGATTGTCTTTCCAACACTTCAGCTTTTAACCAGGTTTCAACTTCTTCAATTTTCTTTTTATGCACAGCAAGCTCATGCTAAGATAAAAATTTCAGTTAAAAAATTTTTTCTAACTCATTGATTTTTTGGTATATCAGCACCTATTAACCTAAACATTTTTAGTGAAAAAAAAAATGTAAAACATTAACATGCTATATTGGAATAGAGTCTATTAACCTAATCATTTTTAGTGAAAAAAAAAAAAAGTAAAACATTAACATGCTATATTGGAATAGAGTCTTTTGGACTATACTTGAATTTTTAGATTATTCTAGAAAAAAACTATCCTTATACTGCTATCACTGTATAATTTTGGATAAGTCTGCAATTATAAAACTTTTGAAAATCCAGAAATACATTTAAGGTAGGGAATAGACAGAGTATTACTGCTGATAAAATGCCTTAGAACATTAAAAATAATCTAGAAATTTGGTTTTTTCTCCTTACTTCACTTAGTTTCTTATAACTAAAAATTTGAAAATGGACATTCCTCTCCTTCCCATCCACCCTGAAATTAAATTATGTAGACATCTTTGTATGCTATTTAGTACCTGAGTTTCTGGCTTATATTTATCCACCCATGGTTCATTTTCAGAAAGATATTCTTTTGAGTTTTCTAGACCAAAAATCTGTTCTGAGGAAGATAGCTTTCCTCTTTTTCTAGCTGGAAATCTGCTACTTTCTAATGCAGGAGGCACATATTTTCTTCTATGACTTGAGTTATTCACACCTAAAGGTGTTGCAGTAGAGACAACTGTATTCTCTGAAAAATCATCAAATGCTGGGTCTACCCAGTCTATTACCTGAAAAAAAAAAAAACAAAACCCTATGTTAACCATTATTACATTTTTCAATCTATTCCCTATATAATTGAACTACTGTAAAAAGAAAAGATTCATAAATTAAAAAATAAAAATCTCACAAATTATTTTTACATAAAACTTGCTGTTACATTAATAGACAATTAATAGAAATAAAACATCATATATAAATTTTAATCTTTCCAGGATAAAGAATGATTTTTCTTAACTCTTGGATGACTGAAACATAAATACTAAAATGACCTATTAAAAAAAGCAGAACAAAATAATTAATATTATTTTAACTAGACATATCAGTAAGAAGAATAACACTTCTGCCTGACAGATTAATATATTAAAAAACTAAGAACCATTTCATAATCCAAATAATACATATCAACCTTAAGACTACAAAAATAGGGCTGGGGTTGTGGCTCAGTGGTAGGGCGTTCACCTACAACATGCAAGGCCCTGGGTTTGATCCTCAGTGCCTCAAAAATAAATAAATAAAATCAAGGTATGTGTCCAGCTACAAATAAATATTAAAATTTAAAAAAAGGGCTGGGGATGTGGCTCAAGCGGTAGCGCGCTCGCCTGGCATGCGTGCGGCCCGGGTTCGATCCTCAGCACCACATACCAACAAAGATGTTGTGTCCGCCAAGAACTAAAAAGAATAAATATTAAAAATTCTCTCTCTATCTCTCTCTCTCTCCTCTCTCACTCTCTCTTTAAAAAAAAAAAAAAAAAAAAAATTCTCTCTCTTTCTCTCTCTCTGTCCCCCTCTCTCTCTCACTCTCTCTTTAAAAAAAAAAAAAAAATTTAAAAAAAGACAAAGGTGAAGATTCTAATACTAACATTTACAATTATAACAGCACTATTTTTATTCAGTGCATGAAGCCACTAAAATTTTTTAAAGTGAGACAGGCTTTCCAAGGAAGATGAGATCTGTAATAGAAATACCCATGAAGAAAAAAATACTGGGGGGCTGAGGTTGTGGTTCAGTGGCAGAGAGCTTGCCTAGCACGTGTCAGGCACTGGATTCGAGTCTCAGCACCACATATGAATAAATAAAACAAATATCTATTGACAACTAAAAAAATTTTTAAAAAAGAGTTCTAGAATAATAGAGCAGGAAAATCAGTAAATTCTATTTCATGTTCTTCTTGTTTATAAAAACTGCTGACCTCTCTGATTTCTCTCCATAATTTCCTTTTCTTTAAAATCTTTTTTTTTTTTTTTTAAAACCCAAGGATTGAACCCAGGGGTGCTTAAACATTGATTCACATCCCAAGCCTTTTATTTTTAAATTTGAGACAGGATCTTGCTACATTGCTTAGGTTCTTGCCAAATTGCTGAGGCTGGCCTAGAACTTGTGATTCTCTTGCCTCAGCCTCCCAAGTCACTGGGATTACAGGTATATGTTATCAGACTGACCTTAAAATCCTTATTAAGTGCATATAAAGATGCCGAATTAAAAAATTTTAACCTAGGGCTGAGGTTGTGGCTCAGTGGTAGAGCGCTTGCCTAGCATGTGTGAGGCACTGGGTTCGATTCTCAGCGCCACATATAAATTAATAAATAAAATAAAGGTCCATCAACAACTAAAATATATTTTAAAAAAATAAAAAGTTTTAACCTAAAAGTATTCTGGAACATTAAAAAGGTTTTACTGATATAGCTATAATTTGAGATGTCTACTAGATAATGCTACTCTCTAGAAGAAAAAGAACCAGAAGCTAGAGTAAAAGTAGGCTCAGGGGAAGCAATTTGGTGCTTAAGAGTGTTTTATGAATGCTAGGTCACTCTTTGGTCTTTTTTTTTTTTTTTTTTTTTGATGGTGCTGGGAATAGACCCAGGGACTCACTCATGCTAGGCAACCCCTCTACCACTGAGCTACATCCCCTACACTTCACTCTTCTTTGAAAACAGAGGGTTAGGAATATTAACAGCAGTGGGTAAAGAAGAAAGACCACTGGAAAAAAAAATTAAATCACAGCAACCCAACATATTTCCTCCTAGTCAAAAGACTATCTCTGATAGTATCATTTTTGCCTTTCCACTATATTTAAAAGAATATGAAAACAATTCTTTGTTATAACAAAACCTTTTATAGCAATTCTGATTTATTCTTCATATTTTAAAGTTTTATTTTTTACACAAGGTGGACTCCCATCAACTGGAGTGGGGGAGGGGGGGGACACAGCCTCATTTATTGAAGATCAGAAAAAAATTAGAGCCACCAATTGCTACCTTGATTGAACATGATATTGTCTGACCCCCATTCACACCCAAACAATTTTGCTGAGAACTGACATACAGAACCACATGAGGCAGAGCCTGTGGTTAAAGTGGTAACACCAATACCACTCCTTTATCTTTCCCACTTATGCTCTTTCCCCAAAAAGTTTTCAGCCTTTTTCTTGTGACTGGGATTCTAAAAACTTTTTCAAAATTAAGTTTGTGGTTGTAGTGTACAGTTTCACAACTTATGACTATTTAGATCACTAACTACAATAAACATTGGGCACCATTATTTTATAGCAATGTTAAATCATTAAGAACATATAAAAAATTTGTAATTCTTTTTAGGCAATTTTTATATGGCTATTTTAGTGTTTCATACCTTTGTGGAAGATACCTTTGGTCTAAGAAAAGTTTTTGACATTATAAACTTTAATAGTTTCCATCCGTAGTATACAACCTGTAGTGCATTAAAGTATAATTCACCTGGGCAGGGGAGAAAAACACCTCAAATCAAAAAAGAACTGTAAATACAGACTTATAATAGTCATTTTATACTGATATAATCAACATAATAACCTTTAAGACCAACAACTAGTGAGAGATAATGTAGTAAATGTATAAGATCAAAATGCTAAAATAAGTTTCAAATTTAATGACTGTGACTGTATCAAATAACTATTTGTGCTGTTATAAAACTTTTCATGTGAACTCAGTGACGTATTAAACAGAAAACCACATATTTGTGCACCTACTTTTGTCATAAAGAAAAATAAGACAATCCTATTTGAGCAATTTTATGCTGAAAATTGCAGTTTTTTCCACTTCAAATCAGTTCATTTCCAAATTTCAAAAAAAGAAAATACAATGAATTCAGGCTATCACTCAGTTTGGACAACTAATTTAAATCCTACTGCAAATAATTTCTACTACTGTCTTCATTATTTGAACATGTAATTATAGAATTTCTTGGTGTTTTTCAACTTTCCTAATTCCTTAATGCTTCTATGAACTAGTGAATTAAGTAAATTAGCTAGGAAATTTTTAAGCCTACAAACCCGTACATTCGAAGATGTGCTTAACTATTTTGTGGTTTGGAAGCACACTCAAACTATAAAGTAAAATACTTCCACATACCAGAAAATAAATTGTTCACCTCGCACACCTAAACAGTTCCCGATTAGATTGTAAAGTTTCAAAAAATTATGTTGATGAAAAAAAAATTACTTGTAAACACAGTTGGCAGGTCGAAATAGACGACGCGGACTTTTTAAGGTCAGGAGTCTCCTCTTTGAAAAAAAAGATGACAATCACCTCCTTTAAAAAGCAAGTAACTGTCCCTGACGATGTCAGGTTTTTGAAACAGACTTCACAGGTAGAAGAGACCTTCAAGACTACTTCTAGCAAACCTACCACCACCTCACACACTACATAGAGGGCAAAACGATCGGACATTCACTCCCAGAAAACTCAGCAACCAGCGACAAGCCGGACTCGCAAGTTCGGCTCCAGGTCAGGGCTCGGCACCCCCATCCTTCTAATCCCCAAATGGGATGGGCGGTTCAGGAGGAGGAGCGACGAGAGGCCGAGCAGGCGTGAAGGCAGAGATGGCCTCGAGTCTCTAGGACATATAAGAAATACAGCCGCAGCCGCGACGGTCTTACTTTCCGGGAGCTGCATCCCCTCCTGGGCGGAAAGGAACCGAGGAGCCCAGACTCTGCTCCAGGTTGAAGGGTAGCCTCCAGTTCCTTTCCCGGCTCAGCACCCAGCCTTTTGGAGGTCCCGCCTCCTGGGGACCTTCCAGACTGCCCGACGCTTCTGCGACGCAGCCCGAAGGGAGGGGCCACCAGGGGAGTAAGTGACTTAGGCACCCAAGATAATGCCTGACCCGAAATGCAGACCGGAGTTGTGCCTCTGAATGCGATCATGCAATGGAAACGTATCATAAAAGACCAGGTAAATAATGGTCAGTGGCTGGGTTGCGGAGGTGAGTCGACAACGCTGCGCGGGGCCTCGAGGACCCCAAGGCTCCAGGCGCTTGCAGCTGCCTCCCGCTTCCGGCTCCTCTCTCTAGTGCGCTGAGCGCGTGAGCCTCGGCGCTTGTGCGGTCGCGGTGGAGGACTATGTTGTTACCGAACATTCTGCTCACCGGTTAGCGCGCGCTGCCGGGAAGGGGCTGGGCGGCGGGGCAGGCAAGGTTGGCCTTTGCTCTGGACTGCAAGTGTTCCAGACCGGACAAGTTGAGGGCCTCGTGGCGTGGCGTGGCGGTCGTTAGGGCCTGAGGACCGGGTCCTCGCGACCGTTGCGGGAGGGGGGGAGGGGACGCGGAACGTTAATTCCGTTGGCCAGTCGCTCCTGGGTGAGGTGGAGAGAGGTAGACGGATTCGGCTCTCCGTCTTGCGGGCCGCTTCGTCTTTTCGAATCCGTTTTTTTGGCTTTTGGTTGGTGGTTTTTGTTTGTTTTCTGTGAAATGGATTGTCGATTCTTTGGCAGGGTGGGGTCTGGGTTTTTATTGAGGTGATGTAAGAGTATCTGGCCTTCGTAGATGTACTAATGGTGGGTGGCTTGTTCCGTAGGCCTTCCTGGGTCGACTCTTTTCTCCTTTGTATCTGAGAAACGAACACTCCTCAGATTCGATTTTGGTAAATGAATTCAGATGTTTGTGGAGCGGTGTGACTAATTTACTGTTTATGTTTTGTTGAGTTAGTATCAGAGTTTTGTTTTGTTTTTTTAATGTTAAAAATGGTGTCTCCTGAACGTCTCTGGTGTTTTTCGTGTAGGTGTGCGTGTGGGGTTCTTCTCGGTATTCTCGGGGTGCATATTATCAGTAAAGGGAACTGAAATGCAGCGTAGTAACTTTAAACAATATCTTTGCTTATTATTTAACTCTAAGAATACTCATTAAGTCCTAACAGATAATAGGACCATAGTCAAAGATCTAATGGTTGTATGTTATTGCAACATACAGAAGTTGAAGTATCTTTGTGAAAATAAAGCAATAAAGTTTTTTAATATATATATTTTAGTTGTGGATGGACCTTTATTTTGTTATATGTGGTGCTGAGAACTGAACCCAGTACCTCAGAAATGCTAGGCAAGCGCTTTACCACTGAGCTACAACCCCATCCATCATAAAGTTTTATCATTTAACAATTCGTAAACTTGTTGATGGGACACGAGTCTTGCCAGTTTCTGAGTGCCGCAAAAAAAAAAAAAAAAACACTCAATGAATATTTAGCCTTTAAGATTCCTTAAAAGTCCCGGATGTGGTGGCGCAAACCCTGTAATTTCCAGCGATTTGGGAAGCTGAGGCAGGAAGATTCCCCAGTTCAAAGCCAGCCTCAGCATAGTGAAACTTTGTCTCAAAGTAAAACAAAAGGGCCCGAGTATGTGGCTTAGTGATTAAAGGCTCTGGGTTCAATCCCTAGTACCAAAAAAAATTCCTTAAGGGGAAGATTTTTACAACGTCTAGTTTGTATGGGTCAGACATAGTGTCATTGCTTTTTAAGCCATATTTTTAAAAATTTTGGTTTGCATTTTATTGAAAATATGTTGAGCCAGAGTTCAATCATGTTGTCTTTAAGCATATGGAGACTTGATTTATCCCTTTAATTACAATGCTCAGATTTAATCATTTCAGTGGTATTAAACCTGAGCAGCTGAAAATTATGCACTTATCTTATAATTGTATTCAATAGAGAAGGGGAAGATAAAGAGCAATGTATAATACATATCTGTATACGACTTTTGCAACGATAATGTAAGAAATTGGTTTACAGTGGTTCTTTCTAGGGAAGAATAAAGGGAGTCCTCAGTGGTAATGAGACGTCCTTCATACCACTTAAAATTTTTTCATGAATGATTTCTTACTTCAATTTTTATTATTAAAGCAAATAACAATGGTAATGTATTGGAGCTGACTGGTTTTATTCTGGGCAGCTCCATGTTGGTGGCAGGCAGAATTTTGGTATAAGAATCACTCAGACCGGGGCTGGGGATGTGGCTCAAGCGGTAGCGCGCTCGCGTGGCATGTGTGCGGCCCGGGTTCGATCCTCAGCACTACATAAAAAAAAGATGTTATGTCTGCCGAAAACTAAAAAATAAATATTAAAATTCTCCAAAAAAAAAAAAACAAACCAAAAAAAGAATCACTCAAACCTATGGCAAATACATCAAGTGAGAGTCTCACATATGGTCATCTCTGAGAAATTATAATTAGGTCATGGTGTATCTTCACATAGGATTGCTAATTAGGGAAATTTTAATATCACTTATTAAGAACTTTTTGGGCGTAAGGCAGCTGAAGTCTAGTATTTCATGAACAGTATTTTTCTGTGGCTTGTCTTACAGGTACTCCAGGGGTTGGAAAAACTACACTAGGCAAAGAACTTGCATCAAGATCAGGACTGAAATACATTAATGTGGGTGATTTAGCTCAAGAAGGTAAGGGATATTTTGGTGTTAGTTTTGTTTTTTGGGTTGTTTTTTTGTTTTTTATAGTCAGTGAAGTGTTAGTACCACTAGGTGTTGAGTGTACAAAAAATAGAAGGAAACTATTGTTAAGAAATCTATGCCGTGTTGGGAATGCACATAAGTGTTCAAAGCTATGCCCTATTTGACTATTTCCCTTTCCTCCCACAAAATTTCTAGCAATCCTGTAAACAGTAATAATTGGATTTAGATGAAATCTGAATATAAGATTAGATTTAAATGAAATCTGAATATGAAGCAGAATGTTTCGAGTTGAGCAGACAAAGATTTGGATTGTGCTAAGCATATGATTATGATAGTGAGTATATTGCTCACACTGGAAGGACAGATTATTTTGGATTCACCAGTAAAGTGTGACTGTCCTTTGGTATTTAGTTGCATGCCTGTGTGACTATGTATATTCCCACAATGGTGCATGTTTTTACTTAATTTACCCTGTTTTCCCCTAATCTTTTATCACTCACATATTTGTGTCTTCATCTTTTTGTATTCTGCAGTTTATACAGAGTAGGATCTCAGTACATTTAAGTAAAGCAAACTTTTAAGTATGCTTCATTAAAATGATGTAACGTGTTTTAAATTTTGAGTGTAGTTTTAAATTTTTAACATTTTCAAAGAAAATGTTGCTGCTAAAGTATTTTGGTTTGATCTAATGTGCATATTTTTTTCAAATGATCTAAAGTTTGATCACCGGATATCATGGAGTCTGGCAAGATGGCTTCTCCCAAGAGCATGCCGAAAGATGCACAGATGATGGCACAAATCCTGAAGGATATGGGGATTACAGAATATGAGCCAAGAGTTATAAATCAGATGTTGGAATTTGCCTTCCGATATGTGACCACAATTCTAGATGATGCTAAAATTTATTCCAGCCATGCTAAGAAAGCTACTGTTGATGCAGATGATGTGCGATTGGCAATCCAGTGTCGAGCTGACCAGTCTTTTACCTCTCCTCCCCCGAGAGATTTTTTATTAGATATTGCAAGGCAAAGAAATCAAACCCCTTTGCCATTGATCAAGCCATATTCGGGTCCTAGATTGCCTCCTGATAGATATTGCCTAACAGCTCCAAACTATAGGCTCAAGTCTTTACAAAAGAAAGCATCTACTTCTGCAGGAAGAATAACAGTACCACGGTTAAGTGTTGGTTCAGTTACTAGCAGACCAAGTACTCCCACACTAGGCACACCAACCCCACAAACCATGTCTGTTTCAACTAAGGTAGGGACTCCAATGTCTCTAACAGGGCAAAGGTTTACAGTACAAATGCCTACTTCTCAGTCCCCTGCTGTAAAAGCCTCAATTCCTGCAACATCAGCAGTTCAGAATGTTCTGATTAATCCATCATTAATTGGGTCCAAAAACATTCTTATTACTACTAATATGGTATCCTCACAAAATACTGCCAATGAATCATCAAATGCATTGAAAAGAAAACGTGACGATGATGATGATGATGACGATGATGATGATGATGACTATGATAATTTGTAATCTGGCTTTGATGCATGTAACCTGTAAACTTGGTCTTAAATCCATTGTACTAAAATTAAAGAAGCATGCTGGATGTTTTCAAGTTGTGTGTTAGAAAACTTAAGTAGTATTTAATGAGTAAGTAATAGTTCTTATTCTTAATTGCAATGTTGGATTTTCTTTAATAGGACCAGTAATGGTTTTTCATCAGCCTTTATGTGTAAAAAATAAAGTTGTTAATTGATTTGTTTGGCAATTGGCAGTTGTGTTTTTGCAAGCATTTTCTCCCTCATTGGCATAAGGAATAAGGGTTGCAACAGCCAGTTAGTCTGTTCGTTACTACAACCAAAGTGTCACCTGTAGTGTCTTCAGATGTTTAAATTGTAATCTCTGTTGTGTAAGACATCCTTATAAGATGTGTTATCTCAGATTGCTAAAGTATTCCTGTGATTCCTTTGTAGAGACTTCTTGGGCAGGATTTTTATTCACAGTGACTGATTTTTTTCTTTATTTTTTTTGTACTGGAGATTGAACCCAAGGGTGCTTAACCTCTGAACCACATCCCTTG